CCCCCCCCCCCGCTGGGCAGCAAGATTGACGGGCCAACTGGCCAATGAAGCAGGGAGAGCTAAAAAGAGACTCCCATCATGCTCTTTGCCTTGGGACTAAACCAACCAATCAAAATTTTCTCCTGGGGCGGAGTTGAGGATTGCATTTGCTCTTTCTCAAAAGAGAAAGCTCATTGGACCGTACTGTAGGGAAGCGACCCCAAATGCCACTTCCGGACGTGCATCGCACCTCTGTGAACTTTCCCAGGAGGCTCTGCTGGCTTTGCTTTCACGACGGTGTCGGAAACGCTATCCAATAAGGTCGCACCTCATCTCGGATCGCAAAGCCCATTGGGTGGAAAGTCTTGATTGGCATGAGTAGAAGCCAATCGACGCTCCCGGAAAGTCCTCCTCCAACACCTGCCGGATTGCTGGGAGTATCATGGCGAGCCTGGGTTAGGTCGTGCTGTAGTTTGTTCTTAAGTTCCAACATGTTCTAATCTTTATCTCTAAATTAGAAAAGCCATTAGCGTAGCCTAGTTGACCGAAAGCTGTACTGCCAACTCCAAAGGCTTGTGGTTCAAATCCACCAGTTACTCCTCGAGAGAAAGGTGGGCAATCTTCCTCTCTACGATTGCCTGTTCTTCTGAAGACCCGCTGGAGGGTCAGCTCTGTATGGTTCGGTTCTGACTCGAGGGCGATGAGCGAGAAACAGTAATACACAAAATCAGAAGGACTAAACCCACGCGCCACTTTTTTTTGCTGAAAGAGATGTAAGAAAAATAGGCAGAAGCGCCACTTGCAATCTCGTGTGGATTACACGGCTCCTGAGATTAAATCCTCCGGGTTTGGGAGCTGGTATTACTGCTTCACGGCAAGTCAAAGACTTTGCCGCAATAACAAGGAAAACCCGTCTGTAAGCAGGTTAAAAAAGACCAACCAGACCTAAATCAGGTGCCACGTGACAAATTAGTAATTTGGATTCTTAAAAATCATGCAATCATGTTACTGTTAGAAACCGACTCCGCAAACAGTTCTGAATCCTGCTCCATTCTCACCATCTCTGACGTCCTGGAGCCCATTGTTAACAGTCACTGCCCCCTCCATGTTTGGGATCTTCGTCTCTTTAACTGTCCACCTTTCCAACTACGATGTCTTTTTCCAAGGACTGTTCTCCTGACTAAATGTCCAAAGTTTGTGAGCCAAAGTTTCAACACCTTTGCCTCTGAGAAGCACCTTGGGTGACTTGCAAGACTTAGACAGTCCATAGGATACTCGGTCCTTTCCCCCCCATACCACAATTCAGTCAGTGATTCTTCTGTCCTTATTCATTGTCCAGGTTTGAAATACATAAGAAGTAATTGAAAAGGTGATGGCTTGGATCAGGTGCACTTTAGTCTGTAAACTCACATTTTTGCTCTGCAGAACTCTGGAGAGGTCCTTAACAGCAGATTTTCCCAGTGTAATAAGCCTTTGATTTCTTGACCACCGTTACCCTGGGTGTTGATTGTGGATCCAACTAAAATCATTGAAAACTTCAATGTTTTCTCTATCACGATGTGGTGAGGATTTTTGTTTTCGTGACGTTAAGATGCAATACATACAGGCAATAAGCCACCGCAAGTCCTCACTTTCACAAGCGAGGTTGTGTCATCTGCATGATGCAGGTTGTCCATGAGTCTTCCTCCAATTCTGATGCCACATTGTTTTTCATTTAGTCCAGCTTCTTAAATGATGGAATAGATAGGGCGCACACCTTTTCTTGGCCAAGGCATACGTTTTGTATGAAGTGTTCTAGGATTCCCATTCTTTTTTTCAAAAAATTTTTCTTCATTATTTTTTGTGTGTATACTGTCAAATTGGATCTGACTGGTACAGGAGATTGTCCCTCCTTCTCCAGAAGAGCATCTGGTGAATTTGAACCAGGCACGATCCCCATTCTTTTTAATATTAGCCACAATTTGTTAAGATCCCACACAGGTAAATACCTCTGCATAGTTAATAATAGTCTGCTTGCATGTGATTTTAATTGCACTGTTTTATTATTTGCACATTTTTTTGGATCGCCTTTATGTGGAATGGAAGCTCTTCCAGTCAGTTTGCCAGGTAATTGTCTTCCAGATTTCTTGGTACAGACTAGTAAGGATGTCCAAGGTTGCATCTGTTTGTTGAAATATTTCGACTGGTATTGTTTCAATTACTAGGGCCTTCCTCCCCACCCCAAATCCTTCAGTGCAGTTTGTACTTCTTTCTTCGTTACCATTGGTTCTTAATCATGGGCTGCTTTCTGAAAAGCTTTAGTGCCCACCAATTCTTTTTGGTACAGTGACTATATTCCTTCCATCTTTTGGTGCTTCCTGTATCCTTCAGTGTTGCAACTTGTAGCTTTAATTTCCTTTTCAATTCCTTTGGGACATGCTGAGCATGTTTTTACCTTCTGGTTCTCTAACCCCAGTTGTATGACATTTGTGAATAGACATTCTAAAATAGCACTCTCCTTGGGCCAACATCATGTACTGAAGAGTGGAACTGTGATGTATTAAATATGACGTCTCATGAAAACTGTGATTAGAATGAGCAGTGATGAGTGTCTAAAGCATAGGATGCTTATGCATTTTTTAAAGGTAAGACTTTGTAAGTACACAAATGTGTTTATGTATTTTATGTAAGGAGATCTGGTGGTGTAATGTTAACATCAGGCTGCTAACCAGAAAGGGCGTATCACATGAACCAGGTGGATACTGGCTAAAAGCAGAAAGTATCAGAAGAATGTTTATTCATGCTTTCTTGACTGTGCAAAGGCATTTGACTGTGTGGATCCTAACAAATTATGAGGAACATTGAGAATCCTAAAATATTTAATTGTGCTCATACAGAATCTATACCTAGACCAAGAAGTTGCTGTCTGGATGGAGCAAGGGAACATTGCATGGTTTAAAACCAGGAAGGCTGTGCATCAAGTTTGTATCCCTTATACCTATTCAATCTGTAATACTAAGCCAATAATTCACAAAGCCAGACTCCATGAAGAAAAATGTGGCATCAGGACTGGAGGAAGACTTGTCAATAACCTGCATCAATCAGATGACACATCCTTACTTGCTCAAAGTAAAGAGGATATGAAACATTTGCTGCAGAAGATCAAGCACTACGGCCTTCCTGTAGGATTGCATCTTATCAAGGTCCTTATGAAAGAGGGAGAAAGGATTGAAAGGATTGAAGCTGTCAGTGATTTAATCTTGCTTGGATCAACAATCAACAACCTTGGTACCAGCAGCCAGGAAACCAGGAGATGTATTGCACTGGGCAAGTCAGCTGTCAGGGACCTCTCAGAATGTTGAGGAGCAGTGATGTCAATTTGAAGACTAATGTGCACTTGATTCAGTCCATGGTCTTTCTGACCACCTGTTATCCATTAGCAAGCCGGAAAATGAATAAGGATGACAGAATTACTAATGCCTTTGAGTTGTGTTGGAGAAGAGTGCTGAATGTCCCCTGGACTGTGAAAAGAACAAAGTTGTCTTGGAAAAAGAGAAGCCAGAGTGCTCCTTTCCTTTGCTCCAGGAAGAAATGACGGTAAGCCTCATTTTCTTGCCTTGGACATGTAGCTAAGTGAGGCTCCTTGGAAAGGGACATCATGCTTGGAAAGGTGAAGGAGAGGAAGACCTTCAACGAGATGGACTGACATGGTGACTTCAGCAAAGGTTTCTAACGTGTCAGAGATGGTGAGTATGGAACAGAAGACAGGCCTGAGTTTAGGTCAGCTGGCTATTCCTAGGGTCGCTGTGAACAGTACTCAACAGCACGTAAACTTGTATATGTATTTTTTTAAAAAGTGTACAAATTATACATCCTCACCCTTCTGCCCCCAACCGTCACCTCCTTGTACCCCCAATATGTTTTTCCCAATTAAAAAAAAATTTTTTTTTAAAAGTGTACAAATTATAGTAAAAACCGTATACATGTTTTCTTGGTTGTAAGGATTTAGAGATTTGTCGTTGTTGTTGTAGACAACTTTAAAGGAGAGGGGAATGTGACATTTATCCTTGTAAAACCGTTTAAAGTTGCATGAAATGTCCCAATGCTTGCCACTGTAAGCATCTCTGCTTTACTGCCCTCTGATCACTCTGTCTTACACACATTGCTAAAGTATTAGCTCTCCTAGAAGGCCTTCAGGCCCATCTCCTATCATAGTACTTTGTGTCTTTATCACATAATAAGCACAGTTTTATGGTTATTTGTTTTACTCATTCTCCTTGGTGCAGAGAATGCCATCATGTCTACTGCATGGAGAAATGCAGGCAAGTGTGAGCTATTGAGAAGCTGGTTTATGTCTCATTTTCTTGCTCTGTTTTAGATTAGGGAGCTCTGGTAGCCTTGTGGAAGAGGAGTTGTGCTGCCATCCCAAAGGCACACGGTTTGAACCCACCAGCTGCTCTGTGGGAGAATGCTGAGCAACCTTCACCCTGAGACTAAACTGCCTCTGAAAACCTACTGGAGGGTCAGCTATGAGTCGGTTCCAACTAGACAAAAACAAAACTAGCCAATGAGTTAGGTCAGTAGCATATCTTCAAAACGCACATCTTTCCATATTTAGTAATTTAAAATTCTTTAGTATGAGATGCAGGAGTGGCGTCCACTTCCTAAACAACCTGCCTCCAGAAACTATGAACTTTGATAAATGTTGATAGCTGTAGAGGGGGGTCACTAAGAGTCGTGCTTGACTTGAAGGCAATCAACAACAACAACAACTGGAGATATGGTAAATACATAACTGTTTGTTATGAAATCATCAGGGACGCTTTACCAGCCCATGGTTATGCACCACCGATGAAGAATACACCTCAGCCATTAGGAGGCATCTTACAAAAGATCGAAGTGTGACTGTATTAGAAATGAATAAAACAGAAGCAATCAAAGTGTCAGTTCTAATCCTTTTACTCTCTGGTTAATAAAACTTAATGTTTCTCTATAGTTTCCATTTTTTAGCCAAATCCATTACCTCTATAGAGCATGAACTGAAATTATACCCAGTATTGATATATGAATTGCAAGCGACTTGATGGCACATAACAACGATATAGGGGGTAACTGTTACTATTTCAGCATTTCATTATTTTACAAATAATCTAAAAATGGCTTAGTTTTTAACAGATTGCTTTTAAAAAGCCAGCTGAATACTAGACCCTTTTTTCTTTCTTATCCACGCCCGCAAAACAATACTGAACTGCAATAAAATGAACTAAAAGCAATGCAGGCAGCAGAGAGCGCCAATGTTAATGAGAAGCTCTACTGGAGTAGTGTAATTACTCTCATTTCTATTTTCTGTGAGAGGTATTAAATGAACAATCATAAGATATTTAAATTCACAAACTGATCTTAAAAATACCTGAGTTTTATAATAAGTTGACGGGAGGGAGGGGAGCAATTTTACCTTTCAATTTCTAAGAATAAGGCGTGAGGAAACACAGCAAATCAACTTCAAATCGGAAGCCTCAGTTAAAACCATCTCTTACAAGTGCTAGAGGTCTAGTATAGATTTTACAAACCTGGAAGAAACAAACTTATCCAGAACTCACACGCCTTTAATGCATCTTGAGAAGTGCAGTAAATGAATGACACTGGTTTAGGGCAGTAAGGCAGGAGGAAATAATTTAAACAGTAGCTTTTTATGACCATTCTTTAATAGCTCACATCTACGTAGGCTCCAGGAATGACAAAGAAAACGTATGCTGCATGTACTGATTTCAACACTCAATAACAACTTTCTCATGGTCTCATCAACTGAAATGATGTAATCTGAAACAATATTTTCCCCATGTTTGTATATAATATTTTTTACTTGGTCACAGTTAACCATTTTTATTTAGTACATTCATTTCTTGAGTGCCGTGTTTTAAATGCCAAATGCTTGATCTAATTTTTTTAATAGTTAAAAAGAATTACTGTTTAACTTAAATCACTCTACTTAGTTGTCAACAGTAGTTAAAGCAGGACCTTAAAGGAGAGGTCGAAATGAAATTTTAAAACATTATTTTGATTTAAACAGAATAAAAAATATACCAGGGTCATGGTACATTAAACACTATTGAGAAGAGTTCAATGTTTTAAAATTCTTAAGATAAGCTATAATATATACAGGCTTATATAGTTATATACATATGATTGCTGTTGTTACTTCTGATAAATCTTTTCTCTCCTCAGATGTACTTATAAAATTATTAAGACACCACCATTGATACAAGACCTTCCAAAGTTAAAAACAACAAAAACCTCTAGTTATTAAAGTGACTTTTTGTCATACTGTGAGTCAGAAAAACAGCTGATATACATTATCCATTTTTCAAGTAATGTTATGTACAGTTTTATTGCCAGTATATGCACAACAGTAAGCATAGAACTATAAATACACAATGTAATTAACAGTAGAAAACAAAATTGTTACAGGTAAGGGAGGGGGGTACCGAGGAACTTAAGAAACCTGCTGTGAGAACCAAAGGGAGGAGGAAGTCAGTGACACGTCACCCAGTCAGCATTCCGCTTAAATTCTTTACATACATTTTCTACACTTTTTTCAGTTAGACAAAGAAAGAACAGATAACTCTCCAACAGCAGCAGTTGCCTCCTTGATAGCGATTTGCTTTTCCAGTCAAATTCACTTTATGTTAGTTTTTTTTTTTTTTTAAAAAAAAGGTCAAGATGAGAAATCATTAGTAGCCTGGCTCCTGGCTCCAAGTCAATCCAATTTTCCTTTTACCAAAATGTGTAATTTTTGAAAGTTGGCTGCTCATGAAGAGAACAGATATAGCAAAAGGTGATTTAAAAATATTTGTTAAAAAATAACACACTCAAAAATCACCCTTTGTTTTCCAAAAGCCACTACAGGCAGCAGCTCGGTCAAGAGTATCAGCCCTGAAGAGGTAGAGAATTGAGCCGGTTACAGGACAGCCTTGGCACCGTCTTCTCTCTCATCAGGATTCATGTTTCAAGTAAGACAATTTCATGGTAAAAGGAAACCAGGTTCCACCACTTAATGAAAGACAAGGTGCTGGGTGAGCCCAGGTCTAACAATCAGTTTGTGTGTTATGAGAAACAGACTGTCAAGGACACACATGCACTTGATTTTTTTTTTCTGTTTCCATTATCAAGTTTATTCATAAGTGAATTTGATATTAATAAATACAAAATAAGCATCATTCACAACCAAGCTAAACAAACCAAAAAACCCTGCAATAAAACATTCTAATTTTCTAAGTCTCAAAGAAAACAAACCAAACCAAACCAAACCAAAATCCCTTAAAAAAAACAAAAAAGGCAGGTGATTTGGTGCAGCTTTCTTATGGGACCATGGAAAGGAGATGGTTTTAAATAAAAATGGCAAGATCAAGAATCAAGAAACAAAATCAGTTTTACATTTTGTTTTGAAGTCTTTGTTTTCAAACTACAGATCACCCCAAAGAAGTTGCAACTAATGACATGTACCACCATCACACAACAGAGTCCAGCTGTGGTTCAAATTTGTTCTGGTTTGCTTTCACATCATTTCAGTATTTCTAGCATAGGACATGATACGGGACAAAACTCAAAGTAGCAATAAAATATTATTTTGCAGTTGAATAAAGGCAAAAAAGTTTTAGACTGTTAAACTTTTAAAGCTTTAAGCATTCCTCTTTAACCAGCACTTTTAAAAAAATTTGTACAATCATAACACTGGCAAAAGTTAATGGGAAGACAGAGAAGTACAGACAGGTAAAATGACGAATTAGATTTAAAAATTCCTGTGTATTGATCAACAACTGATGTTAATACTGCTTCTTCTTGAATTGGGGATAACTACCATAAAAGTTACATGCAGACTGAGGATAGCCCTCTGTTACAGAAAATACAAAATAAAACAAAACGAAAATTAAAACTGAGGAAACAATGGTAAATTCTAGAAGATGTGTTTGAGAATTTCCTTTCATGGATGAGTGCGGTCTTTCTGTCCTTTCTCTGAGAGACCTGGTTCATGTCCAGCAGCTTCACTAACTTTGTCCGGAAACATCAGCGGTGGGATCTGCCCCTCCGGAACCCGTCTGTGCACGTTTGATGTAAAGATTCAGTAGCTTCATCTGAAGACAGAACCCAAACATTAATGTTATTTAAGGGAGAATGGTTATAAAGTCATTCACAGTTAGGAGAAGATAGTCATCAAACAACCTATACATATAAATGTAACACCTGAAAGCTAGACTTCGGACTAGGGAGTTGTGATTACTGTTAAGTTAGTCGGCTGGAGGAGTTCCTTTGCTGTAGGGAGCTCTGGTGGCCTAATGGTAAGAAGCTGTGCTGCTCCCAAACATACGTGGTTCCAATCCACCAGCTGCTCCATGGGAGAGAGATAGGCAAACTCCTCCCATGCAATTGGAGTGTCAACTATAGGTCGGTTCCGACTCAACAGAACACAACAAGAACTGGTAACAGGTACAAAAAAGAAGTTTTAGTCTCAGGACTTGTATATAATTAACATGTCTTTAAAATAAATTATTTAATAATAACATACAAAATATGAAAGTAAACTTAGAAAAAGATATTACCATTAGAAGACTAATGACTGAGATCTGGGTATCATGTGCTATACACCATGGGGATGACTTTACATTATCTTCATGACACTTTATCGATGAGGGAACTAGGACACAGAGTGGAGAGGTTACTATGTAAGGTCACGGGGCAGTTCCTATCTGTCCTGTGAACTGGACAGGAGCCTCAGTAAAGGCACCACTTATTTAATTTATTGTGGCATTTTAAAACAACAAACTGAAGATGCGTCGAAACCTTGCTTTGGAGCAAGTCTCTCGGCACCGTTTCCTGACAGTACACGGGCACTGTGGGTCTGTGCCTCATTGTTAATTCTTACGTTATTTCAGACCTTTTCATAATGCAGTAACACAAAGTACAGACTAGAGCAGAGAGCAAACATAACTTTCCCAGGCACGCAGAAGCAGATCAGAGCCCTGTGCCTGTGGCACTCTGACACTCATTTTCCTGCTGTGGCTGCACCCGAGCCTACAAGTCTGCGGTGAGCGGTCGTGGGCATAAGGTCGCAGGCTCTCACTCCGTGATGCCACTGTCATCCTAACACGAGGATGGGCTGGTGGTTTTTTCCTTTTTCCTTCATTTACATTGTGCTTCATACCATTTCCATACACTGGGCCTTATAAAATGAATCCCCAGTGATGACAATGAAGTTTTGAAGTTCTGTGTTCTTCTGCAGTTTTTAGCCCTATAAGAGTGTATTTTCACAAAGGTGTATTTGAGAATACACCTTCTCACTTAATAGTTCCCCTCTTCCCCTCACCTTGTTACTACCTTGAGATGACATGTGAGTGGTCATTCTTGAGCTGGCTCTAGATTACCAGAACCTAACATGAGTTTATTACAAAAACGTGGGCACTTTTTCCTTGAAAATAATTTGTTTGCTGAAGGTCTGTTTTGATCCAAATATTTCTAATCTCGTGAGGCTTGGCAGACCCTCTAGAACTACATGTAAACTCTTGTATGTATTTGGTTTTTTTGGGAAAGAAATTATACTTAAATGTCAAAGTTTGAACAAACCAAAAAAGGTTACTGCTTTAGTCTGTAACCTATTTAGGTATTTAAACAAAAATGTATAGATCTGAGATATTTTTTCTTTAAAAAAGACAGTAAAAAAAAAACCTGAACAAGAATAAGGTCCATTTTATTAATCCTTAAAGACCTATGTGAGAATTTTTGTTTTAACAAGCCAAGCTGAAGCTTAACATTAACCTGGATCAAAATAAGAACAGAGAAAAATGACAAAATTTGGTTATCAAAATTTTCAAGGGTAAGTTAAAAACTGTTTAAGTAGCAATAGCTCTAAGCGTGTCTTATTAAATACTGACTGAAAACATTTAGCTTTTAGTAAGACATACGGAACTCAAGTTTTGCAGAATGCATCACGGCTGCCCCATTTAAGACACAGACCCAGTACTTACTTTACTGCCAGTGAGCTGACTGAGGTGTGGTTTGAGTTCATCACCAATTACCGCATGCACAGCCACCAGGCAGAAGACACAAGCCTTGCGGACGCTGCTCTCTGAATTGTCATATCCCTGGGAAGAAAGTCCACAGTCAGCACTGCTGGGGGATCTGAGCAAGTGACCTTTCCAACAAGACAGAGGACGTATCTCGACGAGGAGATCTTGTGTAGAAGAAAACCCTGCGGTGACGCAAGTTTATCACGTTTTTTAGACATAAACAAACCCTCCTGGGACTGTTCCTCCTACTCAGGTTTTTCTAACGTCATCTGCACAGCTCCAATTTCCAGACTCTTAAGAATTCTGTTCTGACACTCCACGCCATAACGTCTCTAGGTCAATCCTCCTAAAGCGTCCCAGCGTTAGGGTACTCAATAGCTCCTAAACATTTTGGTCTGGCAGTCAAAGTCCTCCTATAAAAGCTACTAAGCGAAAGCTGGATGGGGAAATATACCTAGAGGTAGCTCAGAAGAAACCAGCCAGTAGAAGGAACCTCTGTGGTGCACAGTCTGATGTGACAGACTCCACAGCAACTGGTAACTCAGCTTGACATCTTTTCCTGCTTAGGTTCTCAGACATTCTTACATTTAATCTACCATACTACCTTCTTTATCATGCTGATTACGCCACCTACTCAAATCTCATCCACAAAGTACATGTGAAATGATTATCTAAAACAACATAAGCATTTTCCCCAGGGAAAAAGGAAGTCATTACCACTAAACTCTGATCAACTGACCTAAGAAAATTACAGTAAAATATTTATCTAAGATATATCTTATTTCTCAGAGTAAAAGTTATGAAATCAGATATACTCTGTAGGAAGCTGTGCTGACCTACAGGCAGCACTTCTCTGGAGAACTGAATTCAGCAAAGGCGTGAGGCAGAAACACAAGCAATCTTCCTCCACCTCACTGACAGCCTCACACACTTGCTGGAAGGCCAACTAGGAGAGTATTTTTACCTGAGTGCTAAGTTTGTGGTCTTATCATTTTAATGACTATGATATTGATAGGTGCAATTGAGTTTAGCACATTAGAATGACTGTAAAAAAAAACAGATGCAAACTCTGTCCTCTCCTGTGCCACCCTCATCATCTCTGCACCCACTGTGTCAATGAGTCTCATCAAGGGTCGTCCTCCCTTTTGCTGACCCTCCTCCTTTCCAAGCATGATGTCCCTCTGCAAAGAACAGCCTCTCCTAGCCACAGGACCAAAGATGTGAAACGAAGCTTTGACATCTTTGCCTCCAAAGACTACTCCAGCTTCACTTTCTCCAGGATAAATCTGTTTGTTCTTTTGGCAGTCCATTCAGTACTCTTCTCCAACACCACAACTCAAAGGCATAGACGCTTTTTCTGTTCTCTTTCTTCACTGCCCGGCTCTCAGATGCATAGGAAGTGACTGAAAAGCCATGGCCAGAATCAGGTACAGCTCAGTCTTCAAACTAACATCATTGCTCCTCAGAAATTTGGAGAGGTCCCTAAAGGCAGACTTGCCAAGTGCAGTATGTCTTAACTTTAAATAGAAATCAATTTTTCTGCAGACATCCCTGGTGGTACAAATAGCTAAGACTTGACTACCAGACAAACAGCTGGTATGCACCCACTGCAAGGCGCCCAGGGGCCAGGCCTGGTGACCTGCTTCTGACAGTTCACTGCCGGGAAGACCCAGGAGCACTTAGTGCTACTCTGTCCACACAGTGACGTTTTAATAGAGTTACATACAGTCTTCCTGATCATCACCACTTCTCATCGTCTTCTGAGGACGCCCCTTTACCATGCACCTACATTAACCACTCAGAACAGGGGGACCTGGGGCATGGAGAAGTGTCAGCAGTACTCCCAGGAGGAAGTTATCAAGTTTTTATTTGTAATTTCATTCTTCCTTTTGCCCCAGAAAGGTAGTCTAGATAAGCATTTTCAACATTTTAGAAATACAACAGTAAAGACATAGAATATGGATCATACTGGCCTTTAAATCTATCCTGACTCTCCTTTTAGAAATTAAAAACTTTACAAAAACAAACAAAAAAAATGAAATGGTGTACTTTCTTACTGAATAGTATTTAATGCAGGAGCTGAGCGGATTTTGAGACATTTACGATGTCTCTAATAAAAAGCTGCAAAATGCAGACGGTACAGCTTTACCTGCTGAAAAGGAAGAGGCCTGGAAGCACTGACTGACGGCGATGACAGCTCGCAACAGGGATTACACCTCAACCCAAAGGGAACAGAGCCCTCACAACTTCATCAATACACATCATCACGACAGAGGAGGAGGAAAAGTACCAACGCTGCCAAGACTGAGTTTCCGTTACATCTGTAATCAATGGCCTCTGCACACAATCACAAAATCAACTGACATACCGCACTGGGCAAACTTCCTACAAGGGGCTTTTTTAAAAAAAATTATTTTTTGTGCATATACCGTCAAATCAGATCTGACCAGTACAGGAGGAGATTGTCCCTCCTTCTCTAGCACGGCATCTGGTGGATTCAAACTGTGAACCTCTAGGATTACAGAGCAGGGTTCTTGCCACTAGGCCACCAGAGCTCCCTGACAAGGGGCTTTTTAAAGCACTAAGGGTAAGGAAGCCACATTGGCTACTAAGTGGAAACTGGAGACAGAATCAGCAACTGAAGAACACTTCTGGACTGTGTAGACAAACAATACAAATGTGTCATGAACTTTTAAAGTAAAACAGCTCTGTCTTGAAAGACATGCAGCGAGAATACCCCTTAGAAGTGAGGACGGCAAGGACTCAGCTGCTGACAGAAATAGCAGTGGGTGCAGTGCATCAGCCACTCCATGGACGTCAGCCGTGCCGTCCACATATGTCAAGGGCCTTGTCAGCCCTACGGGGCAGTCTACGCGGTGCTACAGGCCGGAATCCACTCGGGTGCACAGTAATAACGTAAGGCAGTGAAGCAAAGCCTTTGCTCTGACCACTGCCGACAGGAGAAGCCTTGGACATGTTCTAGAGTGACCTGGAAGAACGACGCTAAGGTCCTCGCTGCCATGGAGTCAGGACTGACTCCCAGCTGAGCCTTCACTCGGTTTCTTGGGAGGGAAGTGCCAGCCTGCACTTCACCCGCAGAGCCACGGGTGGGTTTCACTGGTCAGAAATGTGCCGCTTTGGGTTAACACTGCAGTTACAGACCACACCGTGAACACATCAGACACGGCCGGTCTCCTCCTCCAGCTTCACGGCTCACCTGGATCAGGCCCGGCATAATCTCCGGCAAGAGCATGTTCAGGGTCTCCTTGGACACTCTCTCGATCACCTTGGTTTGCATCTTGATGGCGGCCAGGTTAATCGGGTAGTCTGCGGTCTGGATGATGGGACACAGCACTTTGATGCACTGCTCTGGAGTAATGGAAGTGGCCAACACCGACGCAGCGTCCTCGGCAGCTCGCACCACCTGAAAGCAACCAGCAATTCAACCAGGAAGGCTCTTTCCCAGAGATCATGCTGGGTCCTGGATGGACAGACTTCCACGAAGCGGTTCGCACAACATGATAGGTGGGATCTGCCTTGAAAATGTACCATTAAACAACCATGCGTAACAGGGGCGGGCACAGACAAAATGGGACTGACAGTAGGTCGCTGACTCTGAAACTAGGTGATGGGGACACGGGGTTGTATTACCTTTGCTTAAACCTCATGCTACCAGAAACATGTACTATTGTCTCTTAGACGTGTTCTCTTAGAAACGCAGTCTCTGAAGAGCTGAACGGAAAACTGACTTGTAAGTTTTCACTTAAATCATAATTAAACAGGAAAACCCCCCAAGAAATGTAGTGTTTATTTGTACATTTCTAATTATTCCTGCCATTTTGAATAAAAACCTTTACAGTTACCTAATCAATTCCCCTGGGGAGATGGGGCGGTAAAAATCCCATAACTATAAATAAATGAGCTGAGTGTGCAGGCCTTTCCCCAGGAAAACTGTCCTTATTACTGAAGCAGCTATGGCAAGTATGCTCCTATAAGCAATTTATAACATTCAAAGAACACTGATTTCTTTTGTTTCATTGCTTATTTGAAAAATCCAATTCTTAATGCTAAATGGAAAATGAAGCTAAGAAGAAGAAAACACAATTACACAGATTATGTTCTCGAGGCGCCTGCTGTTCAGGGAAAGGCTATTATCATCATCCGTTTAACAGGAAAGACCCCGCTGACAGCTCAGAAACCACCCTGAGCATCAAGGGATGTGTCAGCTGTGGAGAGAACTGGGAACTGCAGCAAGTTTCCGGGACTGTTTACGTCCTGCACAGCATCAGAAGGACTGACATCAAGTAACAACGAGTCAGGGAACTTACCTCCTTACGAGGATCTTTATGTGCTTCTAATGTTTTCATGACGGTCAGCTCTGCATAGTTTTTAAATCTTGCTGGTTGATGCCTTAGGATTTCTCTTAAAACTTTAAGTGCTAAAGCCCTGATAGTAGGCTACAAAGAAATATTGTAAGAGTTTTAATATTGCAGATAATTTATTTGATTTTTGTAATTTAAAGGTTACTATTTGGGGGAAAAGAACAGACTACCACATCATTAAGTTTTGACATCTCCAGCTGAAACTTCTATTACATTTTCCTACTTCTAAGAACTACTTTTAAGAACTACATATGCTGGATATGAAAAACCAAGTTTTACTTCTGAAATAACCAGTGACAACATACAAGTAAAATATGCTTGTGTACTGATTTTTCATTTCCCTGTGTCGAGTAAAAACTGTTGAGCTGCTTTTCTGCTGGTAGAGTGGACTTTAAACGAAAAGGGAAATTCATAATAAAAATTTCATGCAGCAAGAGGCTCTTTGGGACCTGCAGTGCAGCTTTTTGCCACTAGGCCACCAGAGCTCCCTCAAGAGACTCTTTATCCCAATTTCTTAATCTTTATAATGTTTAATTTTGTTATTGTGTACCATCGAGTTGGAAATGACCCAAAGTAGAACCTCCAGTGGGTTTTCAGAGGCAGTAAACGGCATGGGAGGAGACTGTGTGTCTCTCTCTCCCGCTGAAGAAGCTGATGGATTTGAACTGTGTTTCTTTGGGTTGGCACCACAACTCCTTACCACTAAGCTAACAGAGCTCCCTGCCTGATTCATTCATGATGATAAAACCTCAGAAAGTGCAAACTCATTGCTGCTGAATCAGAACTGACTGAGAAGACCCTTCTGTGGGTTTTCAATGGTTCTGATACATGGAGGAGACTGCTCCTGGGGGGAGATCGCTCCTGAGGGGAGATCGCTCCTGGGGGGAGGTCGCTCCTGGGGGGCCCACTGATGGATTCAAGCCGCCTGCTTTGGGCTGGCAGCACCATTCCCTGTTCACTTGGCCACCAGGGCCCTAACAGGCAATGAGAGGCAATCCAAAAACCCGAGAAGAAGGGGACTGTTGGCATTTCCTGCTATTTACCTCTTTATCCCCAAGGGTTTCAAGCAGTAACAGCAGTATTGTTTTAAAGTGTTCATCCCAAACACTGAAAGACTCTTCTTGTGTCAGCTTCATCAGCTCATAGAGGGCGATCTTCCTTTCCTCTGCCCGTTCGTTATGGTTAGACAGCTCCTTCAACAATTCTGCCACCAGGTCAGAATGGTCAAGGGAAAGGTCTGTCAAGGGGACAGGAAGGAATTCCGTTACTTTAATGATCAACTCTTGTAAATACTGAGATGAGGACTTTTTAGTATCATCAAAACCAGAAATTATCAGTATTGATTATAAAATCAAAGCAACCCCGTCATAAATAGGCCAAGGACCTGCATAGATAATTTCAGCAAAGAGGACATTCAAATGGCCACCGACTGCATCATTAGTCAAATGAGATTTGACGCAAGATCACAGTGAGCTACCATTTCACCACCACGAGGATGGTTTAAAAGAAAACAGAAACTAATAAATGTCGGTGAGGATGCGTGGGACTATCCCAGCACTGCCGGTGGGAACGCACGGGGACGACCACCCGTGACAGACAAATGGGATGGCCCCACTTCCTGCTGATCTCAGCAAGTCAGAGGCGGCCTAGCACTTTGAAGAGGTCTCCTGCCTCAACAGAGAAAAGGTGAAGAGAGAGAACTCTCTCCAAGACAGGCCTGAGTTCCAGTTTGTCAGGTGGTGGGTGCACTACTGGTCCATCCGCACCGTGAACAGCAGCTACGGTGCTAATCCAGTGCGCTGCCTACTCTGCCGTATGGGTCTTGGATCCGTACCAACCTCTGTCTCTTACACTTTGTGTGACTGGGACCCACTATACATGACTGCTGAGGTCTGGTTTTCTAAACAGTAAAATGGGAAAACAGCTGTCACATTTTTGTTGTGCTGAGAACTGCTTTGGGTCATTCCGACAAACACCGGCACAACTAAAATTCTGATGTTTTTATCTCAGTACTCAAAAAAGAACAAAACTTCTTTCAACTTGGCAAAGTATCACAAGTCTCCCTTAAAGAGCAGTCTCTCTGGAGACAATATTCTGGAATATTAGAGTTTCCGGTAAACTTTACAAAGGCTCTCATTAGATGTGGAGAGAAGTGGTGTTTGTTGGGTTTTTTTTTTCTTCTCATTTTATTTTGGATAAATTCTGGCTGTATATGTCTGTCTGTAATATATACACAGAAATACCATCCAGTAAAATATTTCTTTCTAAAGAGAAGAATAACTTCATAATGAGAAAGTCTGATAGGCAGCACTAAATTCAACTGTTCAAAGTTACCACCACCAAGCAAAGGTTAGAGTGGAAGTGTAGTAAATAAAGAATAAACCATCGCTTCTGTTATGCTAATGTAAAGAATGCGTTACTGGAAACTAGTCATGAGGAAACATCAGACAAACTCAAATTGAAGAAAATGCTGTAAAATAACCTGGAGTTAACTTTCCTTAGTGGCAAGAATGAGCAACTCTCCGACCCTGAAGAAGACTAAAGACTTGACAATGAAATGCAATGTCTAATTGTGAACTGAATCTTTTAGACAAAACTGGGACAACTAGTAAAACCATAATGGTATTTGAGAGTTGCTGTTGCTGTTAGGTGCCGTCAAGTTAAGAACGACTCGTAGCCACCCTCTGAACAAAAGATGTGAACTCTGTTCTGTGCTGCGTCATCCTCACACTTCCTGACACACAAGAGCCCGCTGTGGCAGTCAGTGTGTGTATCTGAGAGGAGGAGGTTACAGCAGTACCAGTGAGAAGGCCCTGATTTCATGAGCAAGCTGTGACCCTCCAGGACAACAGCTGCTTGGAGGAAAAACATCCTGAAGCATCTGGGTTGACGGAGACAGCATTAGGCTACAACTGACATTCAAACGATTTAAGAGGAGTGTTCCTTAAACGGTTTCCTAACTTTTGTGACTGCTATGCATAAGTAATTTTTAAATGAGTAAAGTTGCTAAAGCAAACTTTGAGATGTCCAGGGCTGGTGCAGGACCCAGGGTCCAAAGGCCACGCTCATGCTTGGCTGAAGTCTGCTGACTGCTGTTATACTATCAGGACTACGTCTAAGCAACACAGCCAGCCAGCCATTTAGGACAGACTCAAACATATGACAGTGCATAATTGGGGCAATTGGGTAATTTATGTTTAGACAGTTGTCATAGCTTCGGCTCTGCCATGTGTTAAGTCTCCTGAGAAACTGGTAACAATATGATTAACTTCACTAATAATCAAAGATATCAGGGTTATTGTAAACAACTGGTATTCTCTCAAAGGACTCTGCAATACAGCCCAAAGCAGTAAGTGAGGACTTGCTCTCGTTGTTTCTGGGTGTTCTTAATACTTCTTGATTTCAGATGATCTCAGGACGCCTACCCTGCTTCTCAGGCTGGGAAGGAACACTACCAGACCACCAAGAGATGAGCCCCCGGAGATGGGCAAAAATGCCCACCCCAAAGACTCTTTCTCCCGAGGGGGTTGTAACACACGATCACACGTATTTCTTTCCCTGATTACCAGTCCTCCAGGACACAGCACGGAGCATCACGGCAGACACGTACCATCAGGAAACTGGTCTGCGTCATCATCGAACACGGCTTCCTTGAGAGCGGACTTGTTGAAAGGGCTGATGCTGTCTGAATAGTTATACGGATTATAGTCGCGTGAGCGTGGGGAGGAGTGAACGGGCATCGGGTGGAGCAAGGAAGCTTTGTTATCCAGAGCTGGCGGCCCGGAGTCCGTGGCATCTCCTCCTCCCCTTGGGTCGGGGATCCCAGGACCAACACACATCTATTGAGAAGATAAAAAAAATGCACAAGTCTTCAAAATTCTTGAAAACTTCTTTTCCTATTGTTTCAGAGATATATTTTAAAGAAGAAATAATCATCAGGTATAAAAAGTTAAATGATGACAATCAACATAATGAATTCATACATATTAAAAACATTATAGTAACATTTAATTTACAACTATAAAGGCAAGTAAGAACCATAAAGGAAAGCTGATTCTAATGCTTATTATAGTTTCCTTGCTAAAGGATTGACCAAACAGTATATGGAATCTAACTAGCAACCACTTCTCTGTTATACATACATACAATGAAAGCCTCTCTAAATATATAAAAGGTTTACCTTTAGCTGTACAAAAGTGAAAGCAGTTAAATTCCATTACTAAAGTAATAAATCATATAATGACAATTAGATTAACAAATAAGAAAACTCACTTTATACTAGAAAGAAAATAAAGGCAGTGCAGTATCAAAGAGTACTGAGGAGAGAGGAGAAAATGAGGGCACTCAGAGCAGGGTTCACAGAGTCTGTGCAAAGATGTGAAGATGACGGAATTCCCTCGGGATTCCTTGAGGGGATCAGTGTTTCAGGAGGGAGAACCGTCAATTCAAAGGCCCTGAGGCCAGAACGTGCCTGAAAAGCTCCGAGAACACAGCTGGAGCAAGTGAAAAAGAGGGCAGAGGCTGGAAGAAACCAGGGACCATGTGAGATGGACTCTCACACCAGAGGGCTGTAAGGGGACCACAGGCGGCCAAGGGCAGAGTCAGGAACGCCAGTCAGGTCTGGACTGAACTGTGCTATGTCATCTCCACGGGAAAAAACCTCAAGTCTCAACTAAGCCGTGATTCTTACCAACTTGTTAGTGATACAATTTAAAGCATTTGGGGTTACTGTGTACCACTGAGTTATTCTGACACACAGTGACTATACAAGACTGAACAGAATATCCCCAGGGGGCTGTTCAAGGCTGTAAACTTTACAGAAGCAGGTCTCTGGGTCTATTCTCCTGTGCAACAGCTGAGAGGTTCAAAGCACTGACCTCTAATTACCACTCAACTCTCTGACCACTGGGTCACCAGGGTAGGGAACCAAAATATACTGAAGGCACGAGGTTCGAGGCCACCAGCTGCTCTGTGGGAGAAGGATGGGCAGTCTCCTCCCGTGTGGTTAACTGCCGCTGAAAACCCACTGGAGAGTCAGCTAGGGGTCAGTTCTGACTGCAGTACACAACAACATCCAGGTGGTTTCAGCAGGCCCTCCCCACAGAGCTCCGCCAGAACGGGCCTTTGAGGAAACGATGGCACAGAAGCAGCCAGATGGGCGGGGGAGGGGGCCCTCTGAGATGCTGATGGACCACAGTGTCCCACAAGTCTGCAAACAGCGAGAATCAGTTCACAGGGAACAGTGGACGACTGATTTGGAGCAAAGACCAAGTTATCAGAAAAAAAGCAGCAAAAGGGGAAAAAACAACCCTGCATGATGGCAGGAGGAACAGACTTGCACAGTAACATTCACAAGTGTTACGGAGCTGGGTGACAGGACTCTTAGAGTCACACAAACTAGTGAAGAAGCCAATCATGCTGCACTTTAGAAAAGGACCAATCGCGGTCCTCGCCGTCCTCAGCTGTGAACGATCTGGCCCGCGTCCTGCTCTCTCCCGTCAAGACGCTCCAACTGCACTGGCTTTCCTCCTGACCCTCAGCTACACAAAGCCGCTCACACTGACAATCGTCGTCATCTGCTTGTATGGCTGCTTTCCTGTTCTTGTTTTGGAATTTATTTTTATTGTGATAAAAAGATGGATCTCATAAAATTAACAATTTTAACTATCTTCAGACACTCATGATTTTGTTTTCAAATTTCATCAACCCAAAGAGAAACTGTGTATGTATTTATGAAGCAACAACTCGTCATTCCCTCGCCACCTAACCCTGCCTACTTACTGTATTTGCTTATTATATAAATGGGATTATAGAATATGCACATTTTCATATCTGGTTTATTTCACTTTGAATATGGTTTTCAAGGTTCATCCACTATGTTGCAGTGAATTAAGTGGTGTTTTCCCTAACTCTCACAACGTGGGTGGATAGAACTATGGATAAGTGAGGTGTCTGTGGCCCAGCAAGGGTACTGGGTAGCTCGCTAAGATGTCAATAAGGCAATGGCACCTTACAGGTAGGACCATGCAAATAAGATGTGTAGAAAGCTAATGCCGGGGTTGGTCAGTTCTGGCATCCTGTCAGGAAGTCAGTCAGAATGGGAAAGAGGGATCACCCCACCTTCAAAAAAGAGCTAGGAGAACATCTCCTGATGGCCCAAATACTGATTCCTGGGTTGATGGATATTCACTCCTCTTTATTTACATCTCAACACAAACCACCACTCTCATTGGTGATCATCCAATTTAACACATCTGTGTTCCTCTAAGGTAGTGCTTTCTAACCTAAAACTCTGAACATCTCTCAACCTTTCTCTTTTTATTACTATGTGTAAGCTCGTCTCCTCCCACCACAATATAAGATGTTCAAGGGCCAGATCTTTGTCTTGTAAATCTAAGATCCGGAACAGTGTCTGGAATGTGGTAGACACAAGAAAATTAACTGGACTCAACAGCTCTACTTAAAAATAACAGAAAGTACATGATTTAAAAAATACTCTCATTGAAATGTGAAACAGTGATGTAGGAATATCCAAATACTTACTGAATCGCCATCATCTTTTTTGGAATCTCTTTTCAATGGCTCATTCATATCTTCTTGACTACGGAAGCTGAAATTCTGGATTGCTTCAGTGACACCTCTTAGAGAGCTGTAAATATCTTCTGAGTTCATGTTTTCTGTGTCATAATCAAATGCACTGTCAAAATGAAAAACCCTATTTGTATTTACATGTAATTATAAAATACAAGTGCATTTGAAGAAATTAGAGAAGATAATTGTAAGGACAGGATTACAGAACATATTTTCACCAAAGCTGACAGATATAAATGTCTGAAGGACACAGACTCTTCGGCTCAGGAAGGGCAGTTTGCAATGACTCTAATGCTGGTTTACCCATTCACCTTTAACCCACGTTCTAATTACTCAGAGACTCACACCATGGCCTGGGGCCCCGTCCAGCCCGACGCTGGGAAGCATGTAAGCTAACAGTGGAGTTGGGGGACAAAGACCACGTGGTCTGCGATGTCCAAATCATTTGTAACCTGACCTGTCAGCCCTGGTGAGGAACCACAACAATAGTTACACTTGAAGAGGAAATTGTCTTTTATACAAATTTACAATAAGGCAAAGAAATTTCAACACAACAATACAGATATGAATTCTACAGCCAAATTCTAAAATTCAACTGAGACTAAAATCTAGTCCCCCAAATGGATACAAATGTGTAACACATAAGAAGTAGGTGAGATGGGAAGATTGCAACATATTTTTCTTCTTTAAATGCTGATGCCTATATGCATGTGCATGTGTGTTTGTGTCCTGCCATTTTAACAAATGATTTGAGGAAGATTCTAGTCATGCTATATGAGCAATAATAAAAGCCTAGCTAGTAATGAGAAATATGAATTATGATGTACACTTTTAATAAAGACCAGAAAGAGAAGAAATTAGTCTCTTAACAAGTTAAGAATGTGAATGTTATCTGAAGTACAGAACAAGCTTGAATTGCACCTAAGTGTAAAAGCTATACACAGGTTTTATTTTGTATTAAAAACCAATCTAAGTCACTTTTGTCTAAAAAACAGACCTGATGTTATTTTCATTAGTTGCTCCCCATTTTTATACTTTTGCCCATAAGCATAACTTACTTTATCTAAATGCCTATCATTATAATTTGACTTCACTATTTATACTAAATAATAAGCCAGATGAGAAAAACCAACTTCACATTTCTTATACTTCCCTTCTTTCTGTAGTAATTATTCCCTCAACTTGTAGAGCATTTCTGAGAAATCCAGGAATGCTACATACTGAGAATAACTGTGTCAACAGGTTTCCTATTATAATTTTGTTTCATTTTTATTTCAGTAGTTGTTACTATCATCTGAAGAGTCAGCTTTGGAATAAGCTCAAAATTTTCCAATCTGGTAGTTTTCAACTTTTCTAAGACTCTGAGTCAAGTATGAATCAACTAGAATTGTGTATTAATATGCCTTTGCTTTTTTAATAAATGAAATTTGCAAATACAAACCAGGATGGAAAATGACCCTTCTGTTACCTTGGAGATAAAGTGTTCTGGGATGTGTTTGTGGGGGACGTAAGGGGACTGGACCAATTGGCTGGTGAACGTGATGCTGGTCTCGTCAAAGGACTCCCCATGGAACCCTGATTGAGGGAGAGAAATGGGAATGACTGGTAAGTGCAACACAAATATTCTAGAGAAAAAAAATACAATCATTAATCAATCAATATTTACAAGTCATTTTAGTACCTGTCCATTAACTTAACTCTTACGTCTGGTGGGAAAATCACCTCTCGAGTGAGACGCCTTAGTCCTTTCCTGTTCTCCTCCTCCCTTTCCTGCTCTCAATTTTTAACTGAGTCAACAAGATCTTCTACTGAACTATTTTATGTTGAAAATGATTTTAAATTAGCTTTTTGTTCCAATACAATTTCCCTCATTACTACTAATCCTTAAGTTTGAATCCTCTTTTGAGTGTGCTTTAATAAATAATTTTCACAAAGGCATCAAGGGAGGACAATATGGTCTTAATACTAATTTGCCTGTATCATAAGGTATACGGAAACAATCCCTCCTCTTTTTAAAGAGATTTCTGACGTTGGTTCTTAGTAAATTCTTCTCAGATTATTTTTGTTCTCAGTTTTCTCCTTAAGCTTGTCATCAGTGGATCTAACTTCTCTTTTGACCTGTTATCAAAGGTGTGCCTATTTAAAAAAAATTAAATTAGATAATTAGGCACATTTATGTGAATTATTCCATACCATTTATATCTATCTCACTGCCTTCGAGTTGCAGTCAACAAATAATTGACCCTCCAGCGGGTTTTTCAGAGTCTGTAAATCACATGGGAGAAGACTACCTATCTTTCTCCAACAAAGCAGCTGGTGGATTTGAACCAGCACCTCTAGGTTAGCAGCACAGCTCCCTCCAGATTACCTAACTAGAGAGCACAGACATGCATTGCAAGGCAGCGTCTCTCTGATGGTTTAAATTCATCAGCTACTCTGAGGAAGAAAGACAGCCTTTCACTTCAGGTTCAATTGACAGTCTCTGAAAACCTGGTGGAAGATCAGTTCCAACTCTACGATGAGAGGGAGATACACGTGGACATGTACACGCGTGCACACACCCTCCGTCACCAGAATCTTCCATTTACTCAGGTCTCTATTCTCCCAAAACAAACTCCTATCTAACCCTGTGCTTGTGGACCAATGGGCGTATACTCATTAACTCTAAACAGCCCTTCCCAAATACTGTTCCTTCATTTAATCTGTTGCCCTGTAATAAGCATCTCAACTAGACCTGAGGTCAGGATTAGTTCTTATAAAGAACATTTTCTTCTTATAATGACTTCCAGCTGAAGTTCTCAGCTCTGTTCTGCTTCCTTTACTGGTGTGTAATCCAGTCACTGCTCACAACCACCCCAATTAGTGCCCAAATTATAACATAAACAAGAAGACCTAACGATTCTATTTCTCCTCCCCCAAGACTATATTTCTACTTAAGAAATGCTGTCCAATGTAGAAGCATTCAAAAGTTTACTTCAAGTGAAAGACAGCAATTCTTGTGAAAGCAACCATCACCTGATATAGTAGCCATGGGAGTAAGGAAATACCTGAGTTCCATTGCCGGTGTTTCGAAGGTGATTATGAAGAAGCTTGGTAGCACCATCTTGAAAAGTTTTTGGTAAAGCTCCTAACAACATTGTAAACTCTGGGGTATTGAGTTCGAATAAGGAAATGAGCACTGACTGTGCTGCCTAGAAAACAAAGGAGATTTGGTTGAGAAAATAAGACCACCACGGCTTTTCCTTTCCAATGGCACAAGTCTGGGCCTGCAAGCGTGGGAAGGGAAGATACTTTTATTTCTTTTCATAGTCCTCTGCTGAAATAAGAAGGGGGGAAAAAATGGCTGTATTTCTTTTTGGATGTAAGAAAGGGGGTTTCAAAGAGAGTAACACGTATGACCTCAGGGGAAGACGATGACCAGTCACCATCTAGCCACAGATGCTCCTTCTTTACTTTTCCTAACGAATGACCATGCGCCACTTATGGAACGACACTGAGGGGACCTCAAGCTCGTTGAGCAAATAATCCCTGTAAAAGTATAGTTTAAAGAGACACAGTGGTGCAATGGTTAGGCACTCTAGTATCAGAAAAAGAAGATTGTGAACTCAGTATTTTACTTGTGTCGTTTTCCATCTTAACACGTTCAGAGCCTGTCTTTACTGATTTGTAATTTTTCATCTCTCAGACCTCTCAGCAACATTTCACACAGCAGACAGTGTCATTCACTTCCTCCTTCCTAAGGTGCCTGTCCACTTGGCATCACTGATACACTGTCTTAACTTCCTCTTGGTTCCTTGGTTGCTCATTCTCAGTCTCCCTGGTACAATTCTAATTGATGTGACCCCCACGTTGGGAATGTGCTGAGGCCTCATACTAAATTAATGGTGGGCTGTCAATCTTCAGCTGACTCCCTGTAGTATTTGCTAATATTCAAGGTGTAAATATTCCCCAACATTGTCAGCTTCAAGCTACCAGTGTGATGTTATTGAACACAAAATGGAGAAAAAAAATGTACCTCACAATTTGTTGAGTCCACGCCAGTGCAGCAATGCCTGCAGCACTGTTTTCAACTGCACTTTCTCTCTGGATCTCTTCTGTTTCTGTCTCGATGCCATCAATTTTGTGTCTCCAACCCTAACTTGTTTTCTGAGCTCTGAGTGTGATATTCAACTGCCCCCTTGATGTCTCCAAGGGCATGTTACATAGGCACATGCAACACAAACTTCCACCAAAAATTATAGAATAAACAAATGCCTAAGTTCACACACTAACCCTAGATCTTATCCCACAAATATATTTCTTATCATTTACCTAAAAGTTCAAGTCACAAATATGAATTCCTCCTTATATATGCCCAACTCCCAGCAGTCTATGTCACCAGAGCTCCTGGCCACAGACACCTACTCTTACTGCCATCCTCTGTCTCACCGAATTGATCTCTATGTCTGTCTGTACTAGGGGCAGATTTTCCGCAGTGATGTTCTCAGCCTTTGTGGTGTTCTGGCTTTGCCTTAGCCATTTTTGGTCAGATGAGGCTATGCTGATGGTGTCAATGATGTGAATGATGTGAAGAGTACCTTTTGGATTTGGAAACATGCAAACAAGGTAGGTAGCTACTTATGATGAGATGGGTCAACATTACTCACTGGGCTTAAATCGAGCAGGTTTGTAAGACAGACAGAATAGAAAATCTTGCTACCAAGAAGAAAATTAGAGAAAGCAGTGTACCAGAGACTGCTGTAAGACAAAGCTGACGTTTTTTTTTGTCTTGCGTCTCCTTCCCCCACCCTCCCAGCAAAGAAGAAAAACGATGAGTTTTAGGGAAATTTGTGCATCGAGACTCTGTCATCTGTATGTAACTTGTTTTGCAGAGAAGTGTTTCTGTTGTGGGTGTGTCTTGCTGTAAATATTTGTTCATATTTTTGTGAATTCAATACTATGTACCATTGTATTATAGTAACTTTTATAAAGCAAACCATAAATATACTGACTTTTCTTACAGAAAACAAAACAAAACAAAACAAAACAAAAAACAAAGCTGACGTGGGGCTGTGTCCCAATCAGAGGCAAGGACCTGTGCCCAGGCTTGCTGGAGGATGAGGGGAGGCACTATAACTGGAGGACTGAAAGAGCTTTATGACACTTACCTAAATACATGAGGCTCAAGGTCAAGGGCCTGTGAGCACACCTGAGCAGCTGTCCTGACTAAGCTGTTTCTTACCTGAACTCTTACCTGCTAGCTTCTCTAATAAAGTAAATAACCATGAGTATGGTCTGTTGAGTCCTGTGTGGTTAAAGCTATGGATGAGAGTACCCACTAGCAGTGCATCAAGCTCCACAAGGGGCAACTAGTGGTAGAACTGATAGAAGTAAGTGCGGGGAGCGTGGAGTCACAACTTACCTCATGGGAAGAGGGTCTGTGCCACGGATGTTGTGGGTGGGGACTGCTCTCCTTTGTGGAGTCACTAGAGGTCAGAGGTGGCCCACCTCCACACCAACTCTACTCTTTTTACAGTATCCTTAGGCCAGAACCACATGGTCTTGGTTATTGTTGCTTGTGGATTAACAAAACAAGTTGGAAGAGTCATACGTTCTGATTTCAGAATTTGGCAAGCTAAGCCTTCCAATTGTGTTGTTTTTCACGATTCTTTTGGATATTTGAGATTTACTGCAATTTCAAATCCATTTTTTAATCGGATTTTCAAATTTTACAAAGCCAGAGGGAATCTGAGCAGCAATTTGCTAATCAAGATCAAACTGGGAAGTATTGTTATCTTAAAAATATTTACTCAGAAATACATGCATAGAATGTTTTTCTATTTAGTTAGATGTTCTTTTTGGGGGAGGGGAGAGAGGGTTCTCTTTAATTTATTGTTGAAAATTATCCTCCTTTCCTCTCCTCCAGTCCACTTTGCATGGAACCACTTTTAAAATATCACTTATAGATTGTTCACTGCCAAGTGACAGAATATAAATGACTTTTGTGTATTACTCTTGTATCCTGCAACTTTGCTGCAAGTGGTTTTTATTTATGGTAGTTTTTAACTGGGTTCTTTAGCATATGTATATATATGTGTACACATACACACACAACGATCAAGTCATTTGGAAAAAAAGACAGTTTTACCTTTTCTTTCTTATTTAATTGCTTAAATGCCCTACTAGAACCTCTAGCATAACACCAAATTAAAGAGGCAAGATTGGACATACTTGCTTTACCTGCTAAGTAACATTATATATAATGTTAGCTGGGATTTATTGTAGATGTCTTTTTATCAGGTTGGAATGTTCCCCCCAATTCTTAGTTTGTTGGGGTGCTTTAATCCTGGAGGGGGATGAGATGCTGTCAAATGCTATTTCTGCGACTACTACAATGATCATGTCGGGGGTTTTCTTACACTATAAATAGCTTGATTTTCAGATGTTAAACCATTCTTTTATTTCTAGGATAAACCCCATACAATGCCTTATTTTTACATTGTAAAGTTTTTTTTATGGCCTAATATAAGGCCTATACTAAACAATGTTCCATATGCACTTGAGAACAATGTAAATTGCTGCTTTGAGATGGAATACACTTCACTAGGGGGAAAAAACCTGTCAAAAGTTATACTCTGTCTACTCTTTTACACCCATTATTGAAGAAAATGATTTAAAAATGAAGACAATAAATACATTAGATACAGAATTTAAGAAATGAGGAGTGGCAGAAAGTCTGGAGATAATGGAGATATTTCAGGAAGATGCCTACATAGCAGGTCTAAGGAGAAAAGTACCTGAAGTGTAGATGAGAGCAGAGTCTAGAAAGGAAATTCAGATTATGAATCAATGAATGAATGAATAAAGAACTTATGTTTCTGGCCATATGGAAAGTATTAGTCATAGGCATGTTAAAGATACTGAAAACATTAAAAGGTACTTTAGAAGTACAGGAAAACCACCCAAATGAAAAGTATGACAAACTATTAGCTTCAGAAGAAGTGAGGTTTATATTAGGAAGGAGGTAAATTCTTTTAACTTATTAACAGCAAATGATAACTATTTTGAAGGTCACAGAGAAAGATATGAAAAAGAATATGGAAGTGAGATACGAAAATTTTCATTCACTAGGAAACAGAGATAGACAGATACCAAATACCTAAGATGAACAACAAATAGTGCTTAAAATGACAATGTCCAAAATCAAGGGCAGCTCACAACACTAACAAAAGGAGACAGAAAAAAGTCACAGAACACTGTGTACTCTTTTATACTATTGGACAAAGAACTCATTGCTAGTTGATGACGTCCAGAAAATACTTGTTTAACTTTCTGACATTAATCTTTTAACTTTCTAGGAAAACCTACCTTCCGAACATCAGAACTCTTGGGTTCTGTTGTCCAAGTAATGACTCGCGACACTGCCAGGCGAGTTTCACTGGAATTTACAAAATCTCCTGGGTCCATCTGTTTAGCCAGAGTTTCTATATATTTAAGGATAGCAACCTTAACCTGCAGAAGTAAGTACAATGAGAGAGGGCAAACCGTCAATGTGGGACACACTTGGAGGACACTGCAGAACAATCAGGTAATTATTTTTTGTCAAAAAGCAAATGGAAAGTCATCAACAATAAAAAATTATACACCCACCTATCTACCTGCGGTATAAGCATATATAATTATGTGGATGCTCTTAGTTTTTCAAATTTATGAGACCTGTTAAGTTCCAAGAGTTTCATTCACCAGTTTTACGGCAGTTTAAACAACTGCCGATGACTTACTCTTCTGACAAGATTATGAAGTTTTTCTGGAGTCGGCCTTGGGAAGAACTTACAGCTTCACTGTGGGCAAGTCTTTAGCAATTAAGGATTTGGCTTTTGCCCTACAAATGTATTTTTTAAACAAAACAACTCAACTCTATCTACTTAGTGTCTGGTCCCAATTTTTGATACATCTAGCTCTAAATAAAGCAGTTAGTATTGAAACAACAACAACTTGGTTTTTTTGGGGAACAAACCAAAGGATTTTGGAAAGAAGGTCTGATAAGTGGGCAATACATGCTTGTGTGTCAAACAACCCCCTCATCTAATAAAAATGTCCTCTCTAAGACAGTTTTCAAGTTACATCTTACAACACACTAATATTTTAATTTTATTATTTTTTTGTGAATGTACCATCAAATCAGATCTGACTGGTACAGGAGGAGATTGTCCCTCCTTCTCCAGCAGAGCATCTGGTGGATTCGAACCACGTGACTCTAGGACTGCAGTGCAGCTTTTTGCCACTAGGCCACTAGGGCTCCCTCACACTAAGATTTTTTAATAAAAACTATCATGTTAACATCAACTTAGAAATGGCACATAGGTAATGCAAATAGACAATATTAAGCAGATATTAAGATTTGCTTAGCCAGCAATTTATAAAGATTATTTTCTATTTTCTATGCTCTTTCCTTTCTTATTGGGCTAAAGGTCACCGTTCTAACACATAAATAAAAGAAACACTATGCTAAGTTAATAAGTGGAAAGTATAATACTAAAATAAGGTTATGAGTCTACATATTTTTGCGCTCTATTTTCAATTTTTTAAAAAAGAAACTCAAATGGATAAAATTATATTCTTCATTTCATAATGAATACATTTTTAAGAAGGAACTGTCACTTTTAAAAAATGTACAGGAAAAAAAGGAACCCAAAAGCTAACCTATTAACCATTCCTAGTGAAATGCATACTAAGCAGAGAAAGAGACTGTAGATTAAATTATGCAACATCCACTATTTAGGATTCTAGAAGCCATGTCTCCTGCTATAAGTAGGAGGAGCTGAGAGATGATTATATGAATTCACAAATCAACATAAATGTTATTTTGTTTTGGTGACAATCAATAATTGAATATGTTTATCTGCAGTATGTGAAATTTAATTAGAGCTATAGCTTGGAAATGTAGAGGGGCAAGCAACATTTTAAAAACTTCTGACAGAATAGGTGGGTTTACTCTACCCACAGGCAAAACGACCACACTGTACATCTAATGATTAGAAAGTGTTTCTATTTTTAGCAAGATACTTTACAAACTGATACAAAGCTTAATTTCAATAAAGCAAACATGCATTCTTTGTATATGGGAAAAATACACTTGTGTAATTGTTATAAACTGTGTGATTCTCTCTCTCTCTCATAGTAACCCTATGAACAAAAGGCCTTAAGACCCGCTACAATTACTGACCTTTATCAAAGTTCATAGTTTCTGGGGGCATGCTGTTTAGGAAGCAGATACCACACCTGACTCCAAATATCTATCTATCTATCTATCTATCTATCTATCTATCTATCTATCTATCTATCTATCTATCTAAAACTCAAGAGTGCAATAAGACATCTATTCCTTATTTTATAAATATTATCAAATTTTCCTCCAGTCTGCTGCTTCCTGTCTGACTTATCTTTAATCTGAAAGATTTGTCATTATTTTAGCAAATCATTTGTTACATTATTTATTAACTAGATTCCACACCTAAGTTATTTGTGTTTATCTGTAATACGTTACAATTTTAATATGTGCATAAAGTAGGTCTCTGAGATAATGTCCTTCCTATCTAGTGGCTTAGTGTTTAAGGAGGTTTGTCAACTCAAAGAGGATTCAAATCCATCAGATGCTGCACAAGACAAGGATGAGTCATCTCCTCCTGATGATGACAGCCTCTGAACCCAGTGCTGACACGCTGGTCACCACTCAATGGCACACAGCTTCAACGATCTTCAACACTGAAGAAGTATCATTTCCTTACAAATTTGCCAATATATACAAGTGTGAGTATGTGTGAAGATTTTAGAGAAAACAGAAAATTAGAGGAAAGCCGATTTTAATTTGTTGGACTTTCATTTCACTCTTCCCTTTGACGTCTTTCTCTATGGCCTTCAGCCGTTTCATTCTCTTCCTCCACTCAAGTTGCCTTAGTCTGATTTGGACCTCCATTCCTCCTGGTCCAAGGCATTTCTCTACTAGAAGTCAACAGAATGTGACAGTACTATAATCTAGGATAGTTTACAATTTATTCTATATTACAGAAAATAATAAAGCACAATGAGTTTTATATTCCTGGGAATAGCTAGCATAATGCCTCCATCATCAAATGAGATTAATACATCATTGTTATTAATTTATAATAATTCTTCTTCTGTAAGTCACTGTCTTTTTTTTTGGTTGTTATTTTTTAATGTAAGTCACTTTCAAAGAAAAAACAGAACTGCTCTCATAGAGCAGCTTCATGACAATAACATCTTCAATGTAAGTGAATCTTAGTAAAAAAATAACTGTAATTCTGAGGCACAAACAGTCCGAAATCTGAGGGAAATCAGTCCTAGGAAGGAATGCTTATACAAATACATTTCATGCAGAAAAGAGCAGAAAAATATAAGGCTTGTATACATATATAATTATGCACATATGCTTGTTATTTCCCTGACTTTAATCTCACTTAAAACCTACTAAGAAATCTCCCACATGGCACACATGAATCTTTAGTAAAGAATTTAGAGGGCTCATTTTTTAAAAAAGAATTTTTTAAATCTTAAATTTAGAATTACTAAGTCATAAATTAATTGGAATATGTGTGCAAAAAACTGTTGAAAATGTTAATCTTTACTCAGAACCTTCTGCACACATTAGGTAGACTTCACCGTAAAAACCGGTGCTTTTTCAGTAAAGGACAGCTGGAGATTAGACCCAAGATTAAACTGAAAACATTTCCTTAATAAATTAAAGGTAACAATGATATTTAATCCAAAATTATTATCAAATATCCTATAGCTTTTGGGGGGAAAGTATTGGGAAATCACAAACATAAAATCAGGTAAGACTTTGTAGAGCGCGTTTGCATCACCAGGTTATAGTTAGACGGCCAGGTGTGTGATGCCTTCTAAATGTGGATCCGCAGTAAGCTTTTCCAGCGGACAGTCTGGCATTCAAGTAACATCTGAAATATCTGCATGCTCAAAAGGCTTACGGATGTTAGTAGTTGAAAATGGATGCATACAAACATTATCTGAAATACTGCAGAGTTTTGTAAAGAGAGTTAAGGAAAGAAATAATGCAGATGAAATAAAACCAAAAAACCTTGGAGCTCCAAAAAGAGTGAAGTTGGTCCCGAAGAGCAGGCTTGGCTGTCTGAAAGTTCATAAAAATAAAATCCACAGATTGAACAGCTTTTCTTGGCAGCAAGATAAATATCAACAGAAATTTATTAATAAAATACTCTAATTCCTTAGAAAGCTTTCAAGACTTCAAATTCTTACCTTTAAGCTTGGCGTTTGTGTCTGGTCAACTGTAAATCTCATTAGAATATTGAACTGAAGATCATTTGGAAAAGATTCTCTGAAACAAGAACAAACAAAACAAAAAATAAGCCAGCAAGCAAGTCTTTCACAAACTTAACAATAAAAGGCTATGCTTAATATCAAAATACAGGATCCCGGTAAAAGCCTGGAGGCAGCAGTGTCTGTGCGATCCCGGGTCTGTTGGGCAGAGTTCCCAGAAGAAGAGAACGTTTGCATTTATTCTGAGTAAGGGATTAAAAAGCAGTAAATAACAGTAAATAACACTCTGGCTTTCATTAATTATATAAAAATATATTCAAGAAAATCGTTTAGATGTTTTCTTATTCCTACATTGAGTTCCAGACTTACTTCAACTTAGTAAATGGTATTTTAAATACATCACTCTAGAAGCAAGCAGAAATTGCTTACTGGTTTAAAATCTTTTAAAAAGAACCTGAATATTTAAATGTATGATACAACATCCTTCATAACTGTATCAGTGCTGCCAGGTTGAAACCAACTCCCAGCTGAGCCTCCCGTGGGTTTTCAGAGGCCGTAAACTGCACAGGAGGAGACGGCCATCCTTTCTCCTGTGGAGCAGGTGGTGGACTCGAACCACATGCTGTGGACTGGTAATGCCACTCCTTACCACTAGACCAGAACTCCCTTCTTTATAATGTTGTTGTTGTTGTTATATGCCATAGAGTTATAAGGCATTTTTATACTTTGTTGTCTTTGTTATGTGCCGTCGAGTCGCCTGCAACATCTAGTGACACTATGTACAACAGAGCCCTAAACCCTCCGCTATCCCTTGTCAATCTTATTGTCTCTGACACACCTATCCTCATTACCTCAGTCACTGAATCAATCCACCTCTTCGAGGGTCTTCCTCTCCTGCGCTGTCCCTCCACCCTCCCAAACATGATGTCCCTCTCTAAGGACTGATCCCGCCTTGCACCATGTTCAAAGTATGTCAGGTGAAGCTTCAGAATCCTTGCCTCCAAGGAGCAGCCTGGCTTCACCTTCTCCAGGACAAACTTCTTTGTTCTCCTAGCAGTCCATGGTATATTCAATAGTCTTCTCCAGCACCACAGCTCAAAGGCATCAATTCTCCTTCTATCATCTCTAGTCATTACCCAGCTTTCTGGTGCATAGCAAATAATTACAAAGACCATGACCTGTATCAGGAGCACCTTAGTCTCCAGACTGACATCGTTGCTCTTCAGTACTTTGGAGAGGTCTCTGACAAGCAGACTTTGCCAGTGCAATACATCTATTCATTTCCTGGCTGTTGTAGCGAGAGTATTGATTGTAGAGACAAAAAATCTTTGTAAATAAAAATCTTTCCTAACATTAGGTTGAATAAAAACTTCAACTTACAGATATTTTAGCTAACTTGATATAATCCATTAATGCTAACAAAACTCTTTAAAAAAATAAATGTTTTAGCTGCACTGCAATCCCAGAGGTGTGCGGTTCAAATCCACCAGATGCTCTGCTGAAGGAGGAGGAATAATCGCCTCCTGTACCAGTCAGATCTGATTTGACAGTACACACATAAAAAATAACAATAATAAAAAAATTAAAAAAAAAGTTTTATCTCTGGACTAGTGTTGCATTAACTATATACCATGCAAACAGGCATTTCAGATGAAGCCTATGAAGTCTAAACTGTTTTACTGGCACAGATGAACTAAGTATTTCTGATGACTCTGATAAAGGCTCGATGAGACAAAACGTTACCTTGTAACATCCAGGGCTTTCTGAACTTTCGCTTGAACAGATCCAAGCAAATCAGCACCCATTTTTTTCAGTAGTTGTGTCAGCAGCACAAACAACCAATCTTGAAGATCGTCCTTGTGAACTTGTATGAAGTCCACCAGAGTCTCCAAAAACATGCTGAAAACCTGCAGTGGAAAAAAGGGAGGAGAGGGCAAACGGGGAAGGGGAGAAAAAAAAGAGGAGGCGATATTGACCTTGATGCTCAATTCAAAACCAAAATAGAAGGGAATACAGGAGTCAGAGGCACAGCGATTGGCAGCCAAGCGGAAAAATAATCTCTCTTGCTTTTCTTTGGACTCTGTGATCCAAGAGTGCATTGAACTGTAATCCAACTTCTGCAGAAGTTCGACAATTAGCTATTCCATGCAGCATCACTTGGTAAAGAAACTTTAGCCACAATGGCTGGCACACTTAACACTGTCAACAATGCCACAGCTTAAATGGATTCAACTCAACAGCATTTTCTCAGAATTTCAGGGACTGCCTCCCTGGTACTGAGGCTTTTGGAAGAGTGGCACTGAATAAATGAGAGGTTGGCTATGCTGAAAGTGATCTTATACAAATGTAGTAAAAACTGTTATCACAAATTTTTGATGTATCATTCATTAAAACTGCCCCAAAAGTAATCATCAATGATGTGGAAATAACTGTATCTAAGGAGAAATAAATTCGGCAAAAATGCGAATTTAAAATGTAACAATTTTTTGAAAGTCACAGATAGCATGCTTTTAGGCTTCATTTGCACTATGTGCTTTACGCTTGGTGCCAGTATTAACCTAGTAGATAGCTGTATTAAAACACGAAGAGTACATTAAGTATACCAAGGAACTGTAGTAAGGCTGTGATGTTCAATAAGAAATCAGCACCAACTGGAAAACTTCCTTCTAAGCAAGTACCTGCAGCCAATGACTGTCTGAGGATGTGTCAGTCAGACTGGAGTTAGAGGCAAATTATAATCACTTTCGAGTATAAATGTTTTAAAATCATGGTTTCCAAAGTAGTTAATCATCTTTACTGCAATAATTTGTGAATTAAAACGTTTGTTGTGTTTCATTTCTTTTATTTCCTTTATAAAATTATGTATAAAGTCCAAAGCTGAAATTATGACTATTTTTCATTTTCCTCTACTTTCTGGAACAATAAAATGTCTTTCAATGGATGAGGAGAAAATTCTTAAACAAAAAAGGAGGGGGGGAGGAAAAAAGAAACCCGTTAAGAATTTTCTTTCAAGTAATGTTATTTGCTCTGCAAATTCTGGCCAAGCTTTTCTTTTTAATTAAAGGAAATACGTATTCTTGTTTCTTTTAAGTCAAGATTAACATTCTTCTCGCTCCCAAAGTTTTCTGACATTTCCCAATTTCTTTCCCTGAGTTCACTGTGGGAGGATTTTTCTTTTCCTGCTGACAGATCCAAAGCGCTTCTCTCTGTCCAGATCAGAGTATTTCATAAAAAAAAAAAAAAAGAAAAGACTTCACTAAGTAGAAATTTCTTTGGGGTAAATGTAATTCTATTTTCATCACTTAGTCACTGCTGAGGAGTCTGGACTAATGCAAAGCTGATCCTCAGAGAGTTTTCTGAGGCGGAAAACTGCAGGTGAAGAGACTGGCCATCTTTCTCTTGGAGAGCTGAGAGAATTCACTCGTGGTGGATTTGAACCATAAGAGGTGCAGATTTTGGGTTAGCAGCACAACCCCCTATGGACTACGCCACCAGAGACGTCATGGGTTACTAAATGCAGGCATGCTATTTATAGTAGTCTACATAGAACTCTGGTGACTTGGTGGTAGGCTGTCGCACTGCCAACGCAAAGGACTATGGTTCACACCCACCAGCGGCTCCATGGAAGAAAGATGGGCAGCTCCCTGCTGTGCAACTTACAGTCTCTGCAAACTCATGGGAAGGTCAGTTATGAGCTGGTTTTGACTCGATGGCACCTACCACCATCACCACAACATGGAGGAGTATACTACTATTTAAAAAAAAATATTCTGTCCGCAGAGTTTATGAAATAATTTTATATACTTGTATTAAGGTTTAATTTTTATATTTATACCTATATATACATTTATACACACACTTTGTGTGTGTGTGTGTAGTTGAAATATCTTGATATTATGTTAGTATCACACAAAATTTCTTATCTGATTACTCAAGTTTCCTTTTATGTTATATACTACTAGAGATAAAATATTATTGCAGAACACAAAGTTGAGAAGGACTCCACCTCAAACTGCTGTTTGCTTTTATGGAATAACATTAAAATACTACTAGTGAGTATACAGGAAATTTTTTTTAACTTTTTTTATTATTTTATTTTTTATTATTTGTGTGTCTGTACCATCAAATTGGATCTGACTAGTACAGGAGGAGACTGTTCTGCCTTCTCCTTCTCCAGCAGAGCATCTGGTGGATTTGAACTGCACACTTCTGGGATTGCAGTGCAGCTTCTTGCCACTAGGCTACCAGAGCTCGCCTATATAGGATATGTTTTTTTTAAAAAAATTTTTTTTTACGTAAATGTGTGGGGTATTACAATTGAGGCAGTTTTTTCTTAAACTCTTTCATATCCTAGGTGTGCCAGTCATCAAATATAAAACAAGAACATAATCAAATTAGATTCATTAGTAGATTAAAAAAGCACATCTCCAAACAGAATGACAGTTTGCGTAACTGCAAATAGCGTTTCGTGGATTGCAAAGGATCCAGCACTGCATGAACTCTTTGGGAGAGAAAACAGAGAAAAAGGGTTAATTTCACAGTCATGCAGTAAAGTTAGGTTTCCAACAAATATTGAACCAACTTACTCTCTATTGAGAGTTCCAACACAGGGGGGACGGCATGCAAAAAGAAAAAAAGAAAAAAAAGAAAAACACACAAATTAGTCGCCATCAATGCAAAGTTTCCTGTATGGAAGAAAAACACTTAGAAAATAAAAGTGACAAATGTTTTCCAAAGTTTTATGATAAACAGAAAATGGGTTTTCAAAACATGAGTTAAATGAACAGTGTGGGAGAAGAGAAATAGTTTTTCCCTCACCTCCTTGCCAGGGAAATGAAACAGAAAAAATGCCTTCGTTTCCTGACTCTACTGCCCTCAAGAGGCCAATGCAGGATTGACAGCCACCTGCTCCCCTTGCACAATAGCACCACACCTAATTCTAAAGCCAGATACCTAAAAGTTCTTCTCTTTTATCCTTCTTTTTCTTTTACCCCTGAAGCAATACCTCTACAAGTTAAATGTCTCCTGTGATGGCTTGGAGAAAATATTGTGTTTATAACCTTGCTTTTCATTTTTTCCAGACATGAATTAAGGTCTTCTGACTCCAAGACTGTAGGCCGCTGAGCTGCCTGGGGGATTCACCATTAGACCAGAGGGGATCGCCTAAGTAGGGGACACAATGGTGTCCAGTTTTTGATTTTATTTTTTTAAATAACTTTAATGAACATTTATAGAGAATTTGGATTTCCATTCATTGATTGCTGCACTTCTCCACCCACCCAGCCCTCTCCCCAACACTCCCCAGTTCGCTCCTCTTTTTCAAAAGTAAAAGAAAGACTCCCTCCCTGGTACACAAATGGTGTCCAATTTTATAGTCCTAGACTAGTTCTTACTCTAGCTGTCCAAGGCTCAAGGACATGAATTCAAAAGGCAGATGTAAAAAATCATAAAAATGCGAATTCAAAATTTGTCCCCTCAGTGAAGGTTCCTTCAGTGTCAAATCTAAAACCATTTGGGATACCTTTTGACACCTGTCACTAAAATAAAAATCTGGTTTTGGTTTATTTCCTTAAACCCATTAAAGTAGGGGAGTTCTGGTGGCACACTACAGAGTAAGCTGCACTGCTAACCGAAGCTGGCGTCTCCCGGGCAGTTCAAATCCACTAGGAACAATGGGTGAGAAAGATGGGAAATCTCCTCACATGCACGTTATAGTCTTGGAAAACCCTCTGGAGGGTCAGATACATGTTAGTTTCAACTCAACAACATCAAGAGGGCTGGAATAGTCCGTAATGCTGTGAAGTTACTAACTGTTAAGGTTGGCAGTTCAAACCCATCGGGTTCCATTTGAGAAACACGAGCAGTTTACTTCTGTAAGATTTACAGTCTTAGAAACCTGGCTGCCAGGAGCTGAAATGACTTGCAACGGTGGGTGATATAATCTGTCTGTAGGGCTTTATTCCCTTAATTCTCATCACAATCTTATGAGAAGATTGAATTTTTATACCGATTAAGAAATGAAAGCACATACGGCTAAGGAAACCCAACCAACTCACCAAAACTCAAACTCACTTCCAGGACTCGCAGCGGGTTTCTAGAGCTGGAACTTCTACCTGCCCCTCCTGGTCCTCAGAGCACGAGCAGAGCTGAACTACCAGCCTGAGGAGCATGGCCTCTGGATTAGCAGCAGTGGGGCTTGGCACGGACTTACTCTGCTTACAGAAGACACTACTAAGTGTCAAAGCTGGGATCTGAACCCAAGCAATTATCTATACTTGTTAGGATTATGTTGTGCTGTCTTGTAAAAATACTAAGTTATACATTTGCTGCTTTATGCTTCAAGATACTATTACACTCACATTGCAATTGTTGTGAGGTATCACGGAATAAGACACAGCGACCCTATGAACAAAAGATCTGAACCCTGTCCTACCCTGCACCATCCTAACTGCCGACAGGTAACCTATTTTCATACTGATGTATAAAAGGACACTGTTTACTTTGTATATGCTAAATAATTGTAGTTTACAAATTGTGTTTACCAATCACATGGTTCTTGTCCCATTTAAAGATCAGCATCTACTTCAACTATATTTTAGAAATATTTCAGTCCTTTTATGGTATCTTTTTACCAGTACACTGAAGGCTGGCTGATATTTATCCGGACCATTCCCTTACTCTGAAAAATATCTAAAAGGGAAACTTTTGGGAGCCTGGGGAAGGTTGCTGTAGCTCAAAGGGGCTGAGACCAAAAGGTCATCTCAACCAAACTGGAGAGAAGTGAGCACAATTTTCACTTATCATGGAAGACAGGCGATAACCAAAAGCTACTAAAACCAAAAATACCAAGCCCACTGTTGTCCAGCTGACTCTGACTCACGGTGGACAAAGTGGAGCTGCCCCCCGAGTGCCCAGGCCTGTAAATCTGCATGCCCTGCTTTGCTCCCGTGGAATAGATGGTGACTTTGAGCCTCTGCCCCTTGGTCAGCAGCTGGGAATTGAACCATGTAGAATCTGTGAAGCTGCTAACCACACACTCACTCACTCACTGGCACTCAGCTGCCCTCTGCTCACAGTGGCCACTTCACTGGTCTCCGAGAAGGCTACAATCATAATGAGAAGACACTGGCCAGCTTTCTCCCTCAGAGCAGCTGGTGGATTTGAACAGCAGGCGACGCAGTCTTCTGATGAGCAGTGCAACATGCCAAGGCCTGAAGGAAATGGGAAAATCTACCCAAGCTGTAGCCGGTGTCTCCCAAATACTAAACTCCATTCTATGGGCAAGAATTCAGGCAGTTCCTCACCTGTGATCTTTCAGGATAGTAAATTTTGCAGATAAACACTTCTCACTGAGAGCTGAGATCTAACCTGTGCTTCAGAAAGGTGCTATTTAAGCAAAAGACCCAAGAATACTGGTTGTGGAGGAAAAGATAGCCTATTTTTAAGCATGTGAAAGCATAGCCTAGCCCCGTTGGTGGAAAGAACACAGCTCAGGCTGCGCTGAAGGCAAGGGGGTGTCAAACAAGTGTGATGGACTTTTTTGGATAGTTTCCTGAGGGAAGTGGCAGCTGCTGGCTGAAGAGTTTCAAGCAAGCAGGTAAGTGTCTACATTTAGGAAAAAACATACCGACTAACTCACAACAAAAGTTAAAATGGGAGGAGGTGGAAGAGATGTCAATCAGTAAGTCCAAAATTGTATCTGGAAAGGAAAAAAGGCAAAGATCCTAAAGACAAAACTGTTGGTTCTTTATAAAGATACATCAAAAACGGGGATATAGCTGCTATTTCTGTAATATCAAGATATAATGTAAAAATTCAAGCCAAAAGCAAATCTCCCATTTTAACTTAGCAGTAATACATGGTCATTGTACAGAGACTCTGGTGGGTAAGCACCAAGCAAAGGCCACATTAAGAAGTATTTTCCAAACACATTTTCCTCCACAGACTGAAAAAAGAAGAGAATCGCCAAACCAGACGAAAACCAGGAGTCAATAAAAAGCGTACTTTGTTCTAAAATCTTAAGTAGCAGCACCAAAACACCCCATTGTAAAGGGCAAGGTACATGATAAAACAGCCAATCTCACTCGTACGGTCTCGGCTGCTTGGTCTCTTATGGAGAATTAGAGTGGGTCCCTCATCTCTTTACTGCGGGAAAAAATTACGCTCGGCTTAGCCTCTCTACCAACATAAAAATCAACTTCTGTATTTGAACTGTACAAGAATTTTTAAAGAATGTCTCTTTACTACTACTTAGATCTTGGCACCAAAATAAAGCAAATGATAATTCTTGACTTAAAAAAAAATCAAAAGTTGTGACATTATGAAACTATACTCCATTATTAAGAAACATAAGTCCAATCATGGTCAGTCTTACATCTTCTGGAAGGGAACAGCTATAGCACTTATTTGAAGATGTTCTAAAAATGTATGTTTCAAAGTTGTGCACTATAAGTAAAAGGTTACTTTTAAAAACAGGTTCATCGACTTAAAAAGTGCCTCATTTTCGGCTTACGTTGTTATTTTAAAAGATCAAAAAGGTAATGCGTTTTGAATTTACAGCATTTTTTGCACAAACCCCTAGAGATAAAATTACTGGCAGTGATACCAATATAAAACAGTTATAGCATGATGCATGCCCAGTTAGTTATAAACTTGAAGTATTATCCTCACTGAACTAAAATTTTTAACTGGACTTTAGATTACAGTAGTTTTTAAATACGTTTAAAAGGTGTAAGATGTGGAAACAGAAGAAGTATGAAAAAAAAGAAGAAACTGTGTATGCAAGCATAAAGTAAAGACAATTAAAAATAAAAATAAAAAGGGGGGAAATAAAAACCAAATCAAAAATAGTAAAAAGTTAAATTTGTTAGTATTTTTCTTTCATTTCCTTTCCACATCTCCCTTTCATTCAGGTTAGAAATTCTTCTGTAGACACTTGATATCCTAAAGGAAGACACTAAAAAAGGTTCACCACTGTCGACCACATTGCTGAAAACAGAATAAACAAACACATTTTTATACAGAACTAAGACATAAACCAAAACGGCAGAGGACATACGCAGATTACACAAAGGGTATTTCATCAAATATAACGTCAACATTAAAAAGTGAGCAGAAAAAAAAATAAAAAAATTTTAAAAAAGTGAGCAGAGTTCTCAAAGTCTCCCACGGGGGTGCTGCTGCTTTGACACCGCTCTCAATCCATGGTTCTTCTCATGTATAATTTAGTAACTGGTTTCCACTTACCTTATTTCCCTTACAAGACAATACTCTTGGTAAAACAAAATTACATCCACCCTTAAATTACTATATGCAATCTATTTTCTTGTGTATCTCTCAAGAGTGGTACTTATTTTCTCTGTCAGCTTCCAATCTCAATCTATATCACTGGGGAAGCTTGAATGGTCACCAGAGAGCAGGTGCTAAGTCTTACCCAAACACTTAATTTCCCCCATTTCTGAAAACATACTACCATTTTAGGGCAGTAACAGAACACGCCTTCAGTTTTTATCACTTTGTGTGCCTATGTACAAATGACGCCCCTTGGAAGTAAACGTAAATACCGAAACATACCTTGCCGTGAGGATCAGCAAACATCCTTGTGAAAATTTCACACAATCTTTTCAGTTCAACTCGACTGCCAAATAATAAAATAATAAAGTGACTGGTTAGTATCCTGCTGTAGGAAGAAGTCATTTAAGGTAACCTTACATTAGCGTTTCTTTAAGGAATAAAAAGAAGAAAGGGGTAAGAATCAGTCGTCAAAATTGAGACATCTACGGCATTTACTGGTGAGGGTAAAACACAGTGTATTAAATTCAACATTTCATAACATTCTGTTATTAACAATATTATGTTAAAAGTTGAAGGTTATATGAAAAGAAACACAATTATGTACTATGAGGGGGAATTTTACATGTGACATTCCCACAACATGAATCTCACCCTTGGTAGTATCAGGATGGTTTCTTAAATTTTGCCTCTTTATACACTGAAATCTCTGAAAAAATATTCTATTTTTTTGTCATTAAAATAGTATACTTATTTAATATGTTATCTCAAACCTGATGGGGTGGGGAATATAGTGATGAATTCTTCCGTAATCAGATGCTATGTACATATGAAAATATATTAGTTGTTACACCTTTAAATACTTAAATTTTATAGTCCTAATTCTTTCTAAAATACACAAACAGCTAATACATCAGGTTCTCATTTCACAGTGTCAGATCAGAAAGGAGCCCTTCACATTTCACTCCAACACAGGAATATCTGGGCACTGAGTCCCCCTTTTTTTTTGAGGAAAGGTAAATTTTAAAATCATCCCAAGGAAGTCGGCCTTCTGCACAGCTGTGTTTTAAAATCCAAGAAACAGTCAAACATCACAACTTACCTCTTAACATGAACATACAAGTTGTTGTGAGCCGCTACGCGCATTCCTACTCACAGGGGAGCACGTAGGACCATGATGAACACCTCCAAGGGGGTGTCATCTATGCAAGAATGCAGTGCTAAGATGTGTCCCCTGTGGAATAGCTGGCAGGTTCCAACTGTCGACCTTTCATCAGCAAGAGTTTAACCACTGCGCTACCAGGACAGTTAACTCTGTATCATGCAGCCCTTTCGAAGGAGCACAGATATGCTAGACAGTAACATGCTTCTTTTCGTAAATACAGTTTTCTTCTGAAACATGACTGAGAAGGTAAGTTTTCTGTTGCAAATGCCTTAAACTCAAGCAGTTTTCTCTCTGAATTCAAATTTATTCTTTTCAGAAGGAAAGATTTAGATAAGGACAACTGAAAATAAAGACTAACCCTCATTTAGATCAGGGAGCTGCAATCCCAAAGGCACACAGTTTGAATCCACCAGCTGTTCTGTGAGAGGACAGGCCACTTCTTGCAGTGTGATTAACTGCCTCTGAAAACCCACTGGAGGGTCAGTTATGGGCTAGTTGGATTCCCACTCAACAACAACAATCTAGGTTAAGCCTGTATTAATTATTTAAATTGAAGTCTATAAACGGAGGTCTGTACTGTATTTGTAATTACATTTTACAGAGTCAAACTAGACTCTTTAAGAAGTGAATTAAGAGGTTTAAAACTGTGTGCGTGTGTGTGTGTGTGTGTATAAAAAAACAAAACAAAAAACAGTGTATATGAAAAAGAACAAGACAGAAGTAAGGAGAAAAAGCAACAGTCACTAGACAAGGCAACAACAACAAACTTGTTTCCTTAGGGATGTTCACTCCAATTCCATGTGATCTGACACTGTAACATGAACCTGAGGAACACGGCTTCCCCGCCAATTAAGTGCACACATTTGTCTTCTAAATGAAAAACTTAGAGAAATTAATTTTAACTAACCAGTCAGCATTCTGTCAGTACATTTTATTATCAATTTTAAACTTTAAAAAAAAACAACTTTGAAAATGTCTATTGTGAATTTTTATTAAAAATAGTTCTTTAAATAGAGCAAGTAAGAAATGTGGTAAACAAGAGAGCATTTGTCCGAAAGGACTGTGATGCTGAAAAATAGTCTTCTAACACTCTGACCTAGTTCATCAGGGTTTGTGCTGCTAACCCAAAAGCCAGTGGTTCCAGTGGGATTTACAGCCTTGGAAACCCAAAGCGCCATCAGTGGTGGCTGGTCTCCAAGGCGATGCAGTGAGGCGAGTTCGTTGTGAATTTAAGATAGGTCAGGACAATTTCTTCTTTACCAGGATCTCTAAATCGTTATGGAAACAAAAATCAGAGTGCACACAGAGCCGACTAGGTGGGGCTGACACGTCTCACCTGAGCGTCCTCTGGTTTTTCAGTAAGTTCTGCAGACCCAGGAGGCCTTCTTTCCGTTCTGACCAGTTGGAGCTGGCACATCGATTGAGGACCTCGGCCACGTCTTCCGTCTGCCTCATGTAGGTTGGGATACTACCGTTCCGGGAACTGTAGGAGCGTTCTGAACAAGCACTGGACGCGTCGCTGTTGGCGTCATCGTCGGAGTGCATCCCGTAAGATTCGTATCTCCTTCGAGCCGGTTTTTTCTGTTTCACATACAGAATCTCATGAGTGAAATGAACGAAACGACATTTTGATAATTTCTACTGACCACAAAAGACTGAATTTTGCTCTAAAACCAGTACAAAGCATGCTGCCAAACAAATGTCACAATAAAATGTCAGTATTTCGTTTTTCTATAGAAAATTTGTCTTAGAACTTAGCAGATGATCAAGTACTTTTAACTATGGAAGGTAGGAGAAGCAGAATAAACCCAAATGGACAGTCAGATCTATGCAGTGAGATCCTCTTTTTCAAGTGGAGAACAGAGAACTGTTGTCGTTTTGCATCACCTAATTGATTCCAATTCTAAATCCTCATCTGACTGTCCACATAGGGCTGTGAGTTTTTATGAGCAGACTGCCACGTCGTCCTACTTCAGAACAGTCGGGAGATTTAAAATGCCGACTTTTAAGTTAGCAGCCCAATGCTTTAATCACCACGCTACCAGGGTTTCTTCAAGAACTAGTAAGACGTAGGCTGACAGTAACTTGTACTTAAACTTCAAGAACAACACAATATTGCTTTTTGAAAGACCTAAGTGCAAGGGATGGGAAAACTCATCCAAGTCTCTGCCCTCGTGAGGTTCTATCTTTTCCCTTCTCTAAACTTTCTCTTTCTTTATTCTCCTTTTACCTTCACTGCTTTTCTTGCCACTATTCCTACTTTTGTACTTAATCTGCCTGTGTCTGAGAGAAAAAAAAAGAATTACAAAGAAAGACATCAGAAACTGTTCTGTACATTATTTGTCTTTTTGGAGTACAAGTTCATCGAAGGTACCTGCAGGTTTCTCATTGTTTCTGTATTGTCTATTTCACTATCAGAATGCACATTCAAATTCCTTACATTTCTTTATTTTTTAAGGCTTATTACTACATACATTAAAATGTCAACCTTACCTTGTACCTTAACAGTGAAAGAAGAAATGGCTTTATTTAAGATTTCTGTGACGAGCTGGAAACAAATTTTTATGTAACCCGATACATACCAGTGACTGGTAAAGACATTTCTCTGAAATATGTTAAGCATAGTGATTTAAGTAGTTCTAGGGAGCTATAAACTCTCCCAAGTCTAAAAGAAGTGTGATTTGAATTTATAATAGCTGTGTAACAACATTTCTATTCCAAATGCTCCTTCTTGGAAGCCTCCTGTTTAGAACGGTGACGGTGCTTGTGTGGGACTCCCGGTCAGTTTTGTTTTTCACTCTTCACCCCGTTTATCTGAAGAAGTCAGTCAGGAAGACTGCTGCTGCTGTGTGTGTCATCGAGCCAGAAGTGACCCTTAGCTGCTCCTCCAGCAGGTTTCCAGAGGCAGTAAATTGCCCCAAAGGAGACGGCTCAACCTTCTCCTGTGGAGCGGTTGGTGGATTCAAACTGCACGCCTTCGGGAATGCCACTCTTCTTACCCCTAGAACACCATAAACCACTGCCATCGAGTCAACTCTAATTAAGGCTAATCAGTCAGCAGGTCTCCAAGGCTGTAAATACTTATGGGAGGAGACTATCTTTCTCGGGCAGAGCAGCTGGTAGATTCACACTTTTTTTTTCTTGTGTGTACTGTCCAATCAGATTCTACTGGCACAGGAGATTGTCCCTCCTTCTCCAGCGGAGCATCTGGGGGATTCAAACTACGTCTTCAGAACTGCAGCGCAGCTTCTTGCCACTAAGCCACCAGAGCTCCCTTAGAGTCACACTTTTTATGTCCCCCCCGCGCCCTCTCCCACGTTATATGGCATGCCATCAGGGCTCCTTTCTTCTCTGTGTTAGAGCGGTACCTCCTTACTAATGTAGACGTGTACAGACAAACAGACATAAGCCTAAGAAGGACTGCTTTCACTTTTTTACAGATGACTATATTCTGTTAAATGATGAAGCAGAAGAAATAGTTATAGAATCATAAGATGTTAGAAAACAGCAATGTCTATACCTTAGTCCGCATGTCTCCTAAGAGCTGAGAGCAGTAAATTTTTAAAGAGAGAAATTGAAAATAATGAACATTTTGCTAAACAGCACAGTGACATAGTCATTAACAATGTCCATGATCAGAAGCATTGCTTTTTAACACATGAATATAAATTAACTACTTACTGACTAGGTATCTCTAATCTTGCTAATATCCTTTAGTCCAAAGAGAAATTACTAAATGGCAAAATATTCTCATAATGACCTTTTGAAAAGTTACTGAAGTCTCTTATTTAACTTCTTTTACCATTTCCAAAGTTATTTTATACTCTATTCCTTTTTCAGGGTCCAGATTAGGCTTATTAGCCAGGAAATCTTTAAATACTGATAGTTGGAGCTATAGTTATCCGTGGTATGCTAATAACCAAGTTGAGAGAATCAGGTCATACTGACATTCAGATTTTAGCACTGGTGGCCAAATTTTCCTCATAAAATTTACACATAACATTTTAGTATGTAATTAATAGTTCATGAATAATCCATTCCAGTTATAAAACTGTGGGTAAGCAGGATTTAGCTGGAAACCTATCCAACTTTTAAAAGCCCTAGAAAACAGTATTTAAGAAATGCATTGCAGAGCATGTGATCAATTTGATATTTAAAAAAATGTGACCACTAGGTCTCATCTGAAGAGAACAAAGACTCAATTAGTTACAATAATTCATAAATTAAAAATATTATAAAACAGCTGAGGTAAAGGGATAACTCCAACAGACAGACTATAGGTATTGGAGAGAAACTATACCTGTGATTCCGTTTAACCCATCCTTGCTAAAATGGAAGTGCAGAGCCTGAGTGGCCCGAGACTCCTACCCTGCCGAGACAGGAGCCCCCAGGCTGTCCAGCTGAAGGAGAGAGCCTCATCTCCTCCCCTGGGGCAGCATGTGCCTTAGAGATGCCGACCTTTCACTCAGACACACACAGTTAATCTGCTGTGACAAAGGGCTGTCTGTGGCTAACATGAACGCATAATCTCAAAAGTTTTTCAAATTCATGTGACAAAAAAAAAATCATATTAGTAACGGTTAAGATTTTCCTACCATTTAAAAAACATATTTTTAAACTTTTAAAATAAAGTCTTAATAAATTCCATTTAAGAAACTAAGCAGATGTTTCTGAAAGAGATCTAAGATCATCATTCAAAAGAACTGGTGCCACACTGAATTGACTTGGGAAACTAGAAAAAGCGAATTAAGCGTATTATTTCATATGATATAATCTTCATAATTTAATTGAGAAGAAAACTATAGTGGCCTATGGACAACATTGTTTGGACAATCTATATAGTAAGCCTATGGATTGTTTTTCTACCTCTATGCTTACTTAGTATGTTGAACGTCAAGAACCATGATGATACGTAAATGATAATTTCTTTGAAACTATACTTAATTTAAGTCCAGAAAATACAAATGATTGAGATGAAAATAAATCTTTCACTAAACAAAAGCAATCCCTAAATACTAGAGTATTTTAAGTGTGCCTATTTATACAATTAATTAGGCACCCTCCCCTTCAAAGTGCCCCTGCGTGGACACCTCACCCTTATGATACACCAGATGTGGTCATTCTATCCTGGCCATCCATTAACCTGTTTGCCTGGCTTAGAATTCTTATCAATGAATAAAAATCCATAATCAATTATTTTGTTTTCCTTTTTCCACTGCCAAACTCTAATATCAGAGAGTCTACGCTTGATCGTCCTGGAATGAGTGCACAGGAATTTCAGCATATTTTCCCCGCCATGGCAAGCTGCTTCACCCACACATTAGTCTCCTAACGGGAACTTCTGAAATGATAAGGCAACAGAAAAAAGTACCAAAGCATCTGCTACTGCCTCTTCCACATCGGAGCCAGTGTTCAGGACCCTCATAGCACTGACAGAAGAGGACAGTCGGCTGGACTGGCTGATCCCATAGCCTGGACCTGTTTTAGGAGAAAAGAGAGAATCTGTGAGCGGGTCGTAAATGTAGCAGCACGCAGGCTGGGAAACGCTAAGATTCTTAAGAGGGGGGAAAAAAAACCAATGGGGCAAAGCATTTTAAAAGCAATACTATATACCCTGGGCACATTTAAATATCGGCAAAATAAAACAGTAAGTACCTTTATTTACAATGTGTGTAAAATAAATTTAAAAAGCAGTAGGTATAATATACTTAGACCTGAACACTGAAGGAAGCATGATTGGTTGGTTGACTAAGGGCTTACAAGTTTATAGCCCTGTAATTAATCCAGCTACATCAGGCAAACAAATCTCATCTATGTGGGTAAATCACAGAGCAACCTAGGAAAAAGTTAATTCTTAAACATAATATCTAGGGGGCTCCAAGAAGCCACATAAGGACTTGATGGGGGTGGGCAAGTTCCATTGTCTCCTCTCCTACAAGTTAGGCTGATTTAAAATTCTCTACAACATACCATTTGATACTTATTAAGTGCTTATGTGCCCAACATTTTGAGGTTCATAAAACAAACTCAAGACAGATTCTGTCTCCACTATTTTCTATTTAAAATTTACAATTAAAACACTTCATCCACCATTTTGGTTTTTTTTTTTCCTTAAAAACACATGTACAAAGATGAAATACATAACTAAAAACATAAAATAATTCTACTTTTAAAAAAACATAATTTATGTTACACAAAGGAATAACATCCATCAGCTTAGTGAGAAAATGATTAAAATAGGGTTGCTGGAGGGGGGAAAAGTTACTGAGGGAGGAAAAAAAATCATAAATAATTATTCTCTAACAATTAAATGAAAAATTTAAAAAATGTATTTTAAAAAAACACATGATTATGACTTAATGGAAACTGAAAAGGACAAAAATATGAGATGAATGCACAGATGATAGTGCAAATGTACTCATGCTTCACCTGAGGCCCCGTACACATCGGGGGCGGAGAGGGCACCCGTGGATCTGGAATGGTGTCTGGAGGCTGGAATAACAGGACCATACAAACCTCATCTATTACCACAGAAACAAGGAATGGTGGCAGCACTACAGGCAGGAAGGGGTCTCAATTAGCACTGCTTTGTATTACTTCTCAGGACCAGATGGCTTTTGAACAGGGCAACTGAACATTAGCATTGAAACATCATCCTTCACACACATCTTACACCTAAGTGGGCAGACACAGGCCTTCAGAAGAGAACGCACGTTTTTAAATGGAAGGGAATGTCGAAAGTACAAGCATGAAACAAACAAACAAACATACACACACTGTAGTTTAAAAAAAAAACCACTATGGTTTTAGGAACTAATAATTTACCTCCTTTAATCCTAACATCCAATTAAGTAGTTATTACTATTACAATTTATAGATGGAGAAACTGAAGACCAGAAAGGTTAACTAATTTGCTCATCATACTACTACAAGCTGTTAAGAGGTGAATATAGTATATGTTCTCTTGCAAGATTTTTGCTCTTAAATAGGATACACCTAGGATACATCTCATCTGCACAAAAGATAATATGCCTTATTTATGAAAACATAAGCATTGTCCAAATGGTCACAGAAATAAATTCTGCATTCAGTAGATTAAGTATGAAAGGACTTTTAAATATTAAAAAAGAAAATACATCATTTACTGTTCTCAAAAAGAAACAAACCAAAACCCCCAAAATTAAAAGTATGATGTGTCTCTTCCATATATTGCTTGAAGGCCTAATATGAATATATTTTGCATTTTAGATCTAAAACTCTGATTTGCAGACAAAATAAAATAAAATCTTCTCTTATTATAGAAACTTATTAGGTAAGAAAAATACATTCTACTCTTTAAAGGAATTTTATTTTTATCTTAAATAATACTCTTTCTCGGATATGTGAATGAAAATGGTTAAAATTCTCTTATTCCATGAATCATTTGTTTGCCCCAGAAACACTTTAACAAGCAGGAAAATGCCTGAAAAATTGAGAAGGACTAAAGGTTAAAATGGAGAGAATGGTACAACAGATCCTTGTAACCAGTTCTTCAGGGTGAGTGATACCTGTTAACACAGATGATTATAGTTTTAATTTCACTCAACAAGAATAACCTAAAAAAGCATAAAAAGAAATAAACACCAAATTGCCTACTAGATGAAAATCTCTGGAAAACTTTGTAGCATCAAGTTACCTGTGGATGATTAAATATAACAGGTAAAGGCAAGATTTATGCAATTGTAAGCAAGCAAGCCTTTAAAAAAAATATGATTCTAGAAATAATTGGAAACAAAAAGTTTAAGCTCCAGAGAAGTTCAGCTTTGCTCAGTTTCCATTTTTAAAACGTGTGAACTTTTTGTGATGCATTAACGTACTTCTACAGGCAAAATGGTAGTTATTGCTACAAATACATGAATGAGAAGCCCTGGAAGTCTTCTTCTAAAAGGTACAAATAAAAGAAAATGAAAATGAGAAGGCAACTTATTTTCAGGGAATTCTAATCTTCAAACCTATAAAAAAGAGCTAACTACTATTATTGTTACAGAACTTTTTAATAAAAGTGCAGAGACAGTAATTCCTCTAAGGTTACTAAAATGCTCAATTATCATTAGCTCAAATAGGAAGTTACATTCAAATAAGGGAAATGGCTTCTTCTAATTAAAAAAACTTAAGTATTTATACTGTCAAATGAAGGCTCAGAGATGAATTTAAAAACTTAATGGCTAGATGACATGTTAAGAGATAAGGACATGAACATCTACTTTAAGTTAGTATTTGCTTTTCATTCGTCTCTAATTTCTCACTATTGTTTGGCCATAAAAGTTTAAAACCAAACATATTTTGGGTTCTTCTAAACAGCTATCTCACATTTCCTAGTAATACTGTAGTAACAGCCCTTATACAGATATAGTCATCCTATCATCAAAAACTCCCAGAGACCCTCACCATTAACACACCAAACAGCTGCCTGGGGAAGGTGACCTGTGCGTGGGGAGGAGGGGAGAGATTCAGGGGCAGCAGGGGGTGACAGTGAAACCCATGATGACCACCATGAGAATGCAGTGCCAGACGCTGCTCTGGGGAATTTTTCATGTGTTCTCACTGACAGAACTGAAAAGAATTCTTAGAAGCAGGTGCTGTTCTTCTCTTCATTTTACAGCCGGGAAGCCCAGGCACTGAATGGTCACAGAGGTGGGGTATAAACTAAAAAAACACCTCTGTTAGTGTCAACCACACATACATGGGTCTTAGTGAGGCAGATCAAATCTTTCTCTCTCAGCACCTTCCCACTTAGGAGAGGAAGCCAGGGGCCAGAGCAGAGAAAATGAACAGTTGAGGGCAGCGTCTCTATGTCTCTACCTGGGTTTTCCAGAGCAATATGGGACAACCTCGTATATACTTGAGCTAAATGGAGAAAGACAACAAGAAAGTCATTATTTCATACTTTGTATGAGCATGCGTTTCGGGGGACAGAAAACTCCCACTGATTCTCTCCTTTTGAGATTTCCGAGAAACTCTTTTCTTCTGATGCAGGGCAATGATGAGTATTCAAGAGAGGCCTTCACAACATCAAACACAACAAGTGGGAACTACACAGTCCTAAAGCCTCCCAAAGCCTGAAGAGCCACTAAGTATTACCGTCAATGGCATTTTGTAGAATCACGTGGAAAACCAAACCACAGCAAATGGCTAGGAGGGACATGCACGTAAGTGAAGCATTAGCTAAAATGCTGAAAATCATGGAGAAATTGGAAAATTTCCACTTAAGAATTCTGCCTCTGTGTTATCCTAAAGCACTAATGATTTTATTTTTTTTAAAAATCAGTACTTTTACAACTGAGGTAAATGTTATAATCAAGTTTATAGTATAATCTCTATCATCAGTGACACAGTTTACATCAGTGTGATATGCCCTCATATGTGTGAAATGACTGATAAAACAAAAAGACTATATAAATGTTAATGTCTTTCCTTAAGAAGGAGCTCATACATTGTTTCCTAGAACTACGTCTAATAACCTAAGTGATCGAAGTTGGATGCCAAAGAGTAAAATTATTTGTTTGATAAAATTACATCACCCACATTCCCAGAGACTGACATTTTAAATTTGTAGGTTTATTTGGTAAAGTCTCAAATTCCATATTATGTAGCTGAAATCTGCGACATTCATTTCATTCTGTGGTCATTATTTTTATAAAATGCTCATTTAAGACAAGTGTCAATAGACCTTCCCAAACATGTAATTTTCCTTTCCGTTGTTTAAAGCAGGGAGGAGGGGTAGAGAGAATGACAAGGATACAGTCAGTGAGGGAAGCCCACTCCAGAGATGATCACCGCTGGTGACGCAGGGGGGAGGGCAATGCACCTCGAGCATGGCCAGATACTCACCAAGGGGCTGGAAGGAACGGACGGGGCTCGTGTCTCTGCTGCTCTCCCGACTCGCTTCCCGGCTGCAGCCCTGACTCACGCTTGGCCGAGGGATCCGGCTGCTTCGGGCTGCCATGAAGCAACGGCAACAGAGGGTAGAAAACAAGAAACACGGGTTGTATTCTTTGTTAAGTAGACCCTATTCATTTTTTTTTTACATTTTTATTGTATTATTTTTACGTGTACCGTCAAATCAGATGTGACTGGTACAGGAGGAGATTGCCCCCTCCTTCTCCAGCAGAGCATCTGGTGGATTTGAACCACGTACCTCTGGGATTGCAGTGCAGCGTCTTGCCACTAGGCCACCAGAGCTCCCTGGCCCTATTCATTTTAAAAACCGGCTAATAATTTTTTTTTTCCCCTGAGGTTGAAAAGTAAATATTCTTGATGAGGCACTGTGATGATAAAGTTACAATTTCTTGTATGCATGAGAGAAGTATAGGGTAATATTTTATTAAAATATTTTTAAAAAATATTGAACCACACAGTAAAACTCATTCCCCACTCTGCATGCCACCAAACTTTATCATAATTTTGTATTGTAGGTCTAACCTGTTATTTTAAAAAAATCTTTACCCATGCCTTTATTTTAATAGAGAAACATTCTTCCATATAAAATTAGGGCCCAAAACATAAATTTCATTCTTAATTTCAGTACAAGATAAACAGGAGCAAGTGAGCATATACCTTCACCCCTCTCCCAGGGACTCTAGTCTGTAGGGAGCTGTGCTGTTAACCGAAAGGCAGCCCTTCTCTGGTGGTTCGAATCCACCAGCAATTCTGTGGGACAGGAAAGGACTATTAGTTCCCATGTGATTTATAACCTCAGAAAACCCATAAGAGAGTCAGCTACGAGTTTACAGGGCTAGTTTTGTGTTTTTCAATTGTTCCAACTCCTTACAAATAAAAACACAGAAATAAACAAGTAACAGAAAATCTACTGGCAAAGATTTATCAAAATTAGAATACACAACAGCTGATTCCGTCTACACAGAGAGACTTGAGAAGCTGTGGCGTCAGCTATAGTTAATATCAGGAGAGTATAAATGGAAAGTACTACCGGGGAAAAGGGCACTACTTCAAAGTCTATAGTCCTAAAAGAGCTCTAAAAGCTCAAATCCTACACAAATAAGACCTTTGAAATGTATTTGAGAGCATATATGAGCAAAGCAAGGAAAATAGAGAAAGGAAGACAGAGGATCTAGGAAAGAGGAAAGAAAAGTTGGGGGAAGAGCGCCAGGCTGACTTTGGGTCCACAGTGGCAATGCTATGTTGACCTTGTTGAACAACCTCTGGGTCGTTCAATCATAAAGACAGCATAACCGCCCAGAGGCAATAAATTTCCTTCTATTGTTTAAGTTGGCCTCAACATCAAGCCCTGTTATCTGAAATGGAAAGTATCTTAACCAATATACACAGGGAATAAAAACATATTAATGTTTTAACAGGGTTTGCTTATAATATAAACATCAAATATAAGTTGGTAACAAGTATGTACATATATGACAAATATATTGTGAATTATAATGTGTTTAAAATACCAGCTGTGTTTTAAAACGATTCCTATGAATCAGACTTACAAGAGAAAACATCTACTTCAAATCATCATTTCTATTTCAACCAGTTTTCCTTTCCTTCTAACCACAACTTATATCCAAGCCCCTCAATGCCGTTGAAGGCTGACGTTCACGCTCACTAAGTGGCCCCAGGCCACACACACAGGCCACTTACCCACGGAGAGCCGGGACGGACTGGCCTCTCGGCTACAGCCCTGGCTCCGTGGTATTTTGCTTCTCTTCTGCGCCGAGGCGGAATTGACCAGGACTCTCTGAACACCGGAACTCACAGTGGACAGGGCGGTTGTGGTCAATACTCTTCCTGGGGACCCAGACCGGCTGCCAGCTGAACACCAAACACACAGACAGTTAAAGGAGGAACTCGAAGAAGAACAAAAATGAAAGGGCTCTATCTGAAGAGCTGGGCGAGAATGGCAAGTTTATGTTAAAAGGAAATGGACTGTGCAGGATTTGCATATATACAATCACAACCTGGAAAACCGTGGTATCCAGTGAGCCCTGCGAGAGCCGGGACTCAGCAGGACGGCTGTGCTTTTCTGGGTATCAGAAGTGTTCTGCTCTTGACTGGCGCGATCTTAGCCCCTTCCTAGTGCTCTTTCTTAGTGAATGACATCTGAGCGCTCTTTCTCTGACAGCTATCTGCTTTCCATAGGTTCTGGCTTTCATAGGTTTTACTGGACTGTTTTCTCGAAGACTGAAAAGGAAGTCGCCTAAATCATATTTCCTGTCTTCGAGGTTAGAAGATACTAAGCCTAAAAAGATGAATGTTGTTGTCATGTTGAGCGTGCAAGTAGTTGAAAAGATTCCCATGGAAACCACTTCCATTGACAATCCCCTACAAATGTCTAAAACGAAGTTACATACTTCAAAGGAAAAAATTAGTCATTAAGATGACTGCTATTATTTCTGTTACAAACATAATCATTTGCATCAAATTTTCCTGCTGAGCTACCTTAAAATGACCGTAACAGCTAACCTATCTGACTACTTACTACACACACTCAAGTTTTTACAGAATTAAATTTTGAAAGGCCAAAGGGCAGCTGAAAAAGAAGCTTGAGGACATTACGGTTGACTTCATATAGCAAAAGGCTCATTGGTTGCTGTGGTACAGGGTACCGTGTGTGGACCAAGACTAAGAAGTAGATGCCAAGGAAGTCAGTCCTGATTTTCCACTCTGGAAGGCAGAGAACGGGTCCGTAGAGAGGGGGGACCAGCTGCTGCTGAGTCGGACGCAGTCCATGGTGACTCTCTGCGTGCTGCACGTCAACGTGCGTTTGGAATGCTGATGCTCTGGGACGCAAACCCGCAGCACTATCTAGGGAGTACTTCTGGGCTGACTTAGGAAGTCCTGTTGGTATAGTCTCTAATGAGTTGAGCTGCCCAAAGGCCTCACATTTCATGTTTACAGTGAATTCACTTGCAGCTCCATGGGAGAAAGTTGGGTAGTTTCCTTCCATTCCAATTTGTTATTGTTGACTGCCATTGAGTTGAGCACGACTCAGAGTGACCCTATGAACAAAAGGCCTGAAGCCTTTCTATAACTCCTGTCATTTATCAAAGTTCATAGAGCTTCCAGAGGCATGTTGTTTAGGAAGTGGATGCTACTCCTGCTTCCAATTTAGGGCCTCAAAAATCTGATGGAGGGGGTCCCCTCTGAGTCAGAAATGACTCTCAAAGTCAGTTTGAGTTTTTCCGGGTTGATGCACATACTGAAGCTTTCAGTTAGCAGCCCAAACAATAACTATATGCAACACTCAAGACACTCCTTACAGACAGACCTGGATAAAATATTGTTACAGCTCCATGTGTGACGTTAAGAAAGGTCTTTTTAAAAACCCATGGCTTTAAACCAGAAGCGTACTGGTTATCTTCAGAGGGTGGGCTCCTCGCTAATCCAAGTATTTGCTGTCTAGCTTGAACGGGGCACTGACAAAATAACAGCAAGATAAAAATCAACCCAGTCTCCATCCTTTTAAAGCACAGTGAGTGACTCTTCACTGCCTAGTCTCACCCAATCGTGCTCCACAGAGGAATGAAGAAAGGCTGACCCTGCACAGGGAGGAGCACAGGGAATGCAGGAGGGAAGAGACACCCAGGCAGGCGGAGAAGGGTGTGACCCAGAGGGCATGGCCCACGCCTTTCCTAAGGGACAGGTGGCTTTTATTTAGTCTCAGGTGGTTTGTCCTGCAGTGGTTAACAGCCTGGTCTTGAGATTTGTTTTTATTTTTTTAAAAAAAACAAGCTATGCAATTTCCTGATGTTGTCACATTACATAGGACAAATACTGTACAGAAGAAGGCATGCTGCATGTCGGCTGTTCATCTGTGACTCTTGGTACAGCTGTCTTGGTTAGGACTTGCTGGATACAATCTGAACACAATTTACAGTTGCGTTGAATGGCTAAACTTTACCAACATACAAATTATCTTCCATTATGTGGCAAAATTAGAAAACAAAGTAGTATTTTCTGTTAAAAACTAACAGTTTCAATTTGAGTAGAAGGAAGTATCAATTACTGCAGGGAAATCATTCACCTCTACATTTAAATGATAGCTCATTTGACAGCTTAGTGGTATTTTGGGTGAGTCTTTAAGCAGGTTTCCTTCAATAAGAGTAGTAAACACATCCATAAGGCACCTATTTTTCCATGCAGTATCTAACTAAACAGACACACCACAACATTCAAACAGTCAACATGCCACAAACACACAATGCACGGTAAGCTGATGAGATGTTTTATGGGAAAACGCACAACAATGTACAAAGTACATATAATGAACTGAGCACACACAATGCGGCATTCTGTTACAATCCATATAGACTTTGAGGAAGTTGGCAGGAGAGAGTGGAGAATTCTTTGATACATGGGTCTATTCAGCAGAGAGGTTAATATGCCGTATAGAAGCTAAGTGATTGCTCTAGTGATTTACTGAATTCATCAGCTATGCAAGCTGTGTGTGTGAAAATGATTTGGAGGCCCTCTCCTAGGAAAAACACTGGCATATTAACTTGACTTTAATCAGTAACATCTCTTCTCTAAGGTTCCCACCTCACAACAGCATGACAATTCCAGAGCCAACCAATTATTTTAGAATTATATACTTAGATAAAAATACTAAGGCTTTTACCTCAACTGAAAATAAGCACTAATTATTTCTTCTAGGAAAACAAAGTTGATTTTTAAAAGGGTATGCTGTATGTAAAGAATAGCATGTTACTAGAAAATAAACTCATTTGTGAAAGTGGAGACTGGATTTCTCATTACTCTTTTCACTGGTCAAAATTTTCAAACTTTATAAATTTCATAAGATACTTCCAAAGTATTATTAAAGATCCACTGCTTTTTCATAACAGAGTCAACTTGGATAATTTAAATAATGCAGGTTTCTGGTAACAAAATAAACAGTCAAAAGAAAAACCCTAACTGATAATGTCTGCTGAGTAGAACCCAGTCTGAAAAATGAAAACAGGTGATCACACAATAGATGTGCACATCAAGTCTCTGGATTCTTACCACCAATGGTATTAGCAGACTGTGATCCTGAACAAGCGCAAAGGCAGAATTAGGGGAAGGGTTATAATCCAGGAAGAGGGAAGGAGCAGATTTAAAATGAATAGCAAATGGTAATAAGCTTTAGTCAGTTCTTAGAAAACAAAGTCTTAAGCAAAAAAAAAGAAAAAAAGGCAAACTTCAAAAAAAACCCCAAAATTGATGTGTGTGATTAAAGCAGTACATTTACTAGTCTTGTAGCAGATAAACAGAAATCAAACATTCAAATACAAAGCAGATGATATGAAGTTGTAAATGTAAATTCTTCAGCTTTTCTACTACTGATAGTTCAAAGCACAAATAATTAAATGTTTATGCTTTTAACGTTTAATTTAAAGGTTAAAGGCTAGGAAGGACTGTATCTTACAGCTGAAGAAAGATTACATCAAAAAGAAACAAGTTTTCATATTTCTCAAGACAAAGACAAAATAAGATGGGAGTGTAAAGTTGATGACAGGCTGTGCAGTCACTTGTACACAACTAGTTACTTGAGCGAAGACATACACCACACACATGGAAGTTTCGAGTTCTCTACTAGGTCTGTTTCCACGCTCTTTGGTTAGCCCTCAGCACACCTGCTTTAATCCAAAAGATTTTTATTCCCCCCGAGTAGATTCCCTAACAGATTCCTTTACCAAAAAGTGAAAATGGAAAGCACAAGGATGTGTCTGAGCAATTAGGTTGTAAAGAAATTATATCAAAATACATCAGGCTACAGATCTCTCTCCAAAAAATTTTGGAACGAGACATACAGACAATTAGATAAATGAGAAAGTAAACAAATGAAAGTCTCTCTGATATGATTTAAAACGTAAATGATTTTATAGTGAGAAATTCTTCTGATCTTTAAAGCCTACATTGTATAAAAGTCCAATGACTACTCTCACATTTAATTTTAGTAGAGGAAGGGAAATCTTGTCGTTGTGTTTCATAATACAAAATTATACAAAGACGGTTATAAACTACATATACATTATACATATATATAGATATATATAGAGATATATAGAGATATGTCGCTTATTATATTATGAAGGAATAATTGTTGACTGATCTACAGTTATAGCAGATTTAATAGGTAAGTCCTTATAAGTGTTATATTAAAAAACAAATAAAAAGCACTTTGAACACACTGCCCTGAGTTCAATCTGACTGTTATTTTAGTAGGGGACAAAGTAACAAATCTCACATATAATTAACCTTTAGTTTCTGATTGCCATTCTGAATTTTCTTTATGCTTTAAATTTAACTTCATTATTATGATGTTATTATGTTAAACATTATTGTTTCCTAGATGTCATAAGAATAACGATGTCGAGAAGCATGCAACAGAAACAGAAAATTCAGTTATATTAGATTGAGAATAATAATGAGCAAAGTTTTAACAACTAATATATATAATGCTTATTCTAAGCCAGGTTCTTTTGGTGTTTTTTTTAAGCTAGGTACTGTTTTAAATTTATTAAATGTGCTGCACCATTTAATATGTTATATAGCTAAGGATACAAAGAAAGAGTTTAAATAATTTAGAAGACTCAGGATTCAGATTTTGGATTCAAATTTAATTGAGACACAAATCACTTGGTGATCCTGAAGTAGGTTTGGAGTCAGTAAGTCTACTGTTGGAACACGAGATTCTGCATTTTAACAAGTTCCCGGGAGATATTGATGTTGCTCATCTGTGGAACTTACTAATAGTAAGGCTCCCAATTATTATACTATTCTGTTAAAAATTAAGTTACTATAAAAATACAAAAGGTCAGGGAAGAATGTGGTATCATCTACTTTTAATCTGGCTGGGAGAAACGACCTTGACTACAACACATTTGCTTTTTTCCCCTCTTTGGAAAGTGAATTTACTGCGCATTCTTACAGGACTCTGGGATGTGCCCACAGCTCCCCTGGAGTCCTCTGACTGTGGAAAGAGGAGAGGGATCTGAGAGGCAGGACTTCTGCTACCACGATGTGCCCATCAAACTGCAGAGTTAATGTCAGAATTTTTTAAGTCAGAATCAAAGATTCCATTATCATCTTAAGAAATGTACAGAAGGGCGCTCTGGTGGCCTAGTGGCAAGAAGCTGTGTTGCAATCCCAGAAGCGCACGGTTCAAATCCAGATGCTCTGCTGGATTTGAAGACGAAGGAGGGGCACCTCCTCCTCTGCCAGTCGGATCAGACTTGACAGTACACAACAAGAAAAGAAAAAAAAATGAACAGAGCATCCTTCATCTGATAAATCTCCTTAACTGGGAAGATATGAAATCTATTTCATTCCAAAATAGCAGAGTATGCAGAATAACTCTGCACAATCACTCTCCTAAAACAAGTTCCTGCTTTTAGAGATAAGTACTGACAAAAATCTCCTGGTAAAGAAGAAATGGAATGTTTGAAAACACTCCATTAAATATGTGTGTGTGTGTGTGTGTGTGTGTGTGTGTGTGTGTGTGTGTGTGTGTGAGAGAGAGAGAGAGAGAGATTGTTCTAAAACATGTAGAGATGGATCATTCATTTTACCTAGTCCTCAAAATTGTGCTTTTTAATAATTATGTCCGTGAGGAAGTCAGCTTTCAAAGCAGCAGCAAAAATACAAATCCTAAATTGAACAAGGAGCACAACAGAAATGGCCATTTTCATTTTCTCTCCTCACTACAACTCGGTATACAGCTGCCACAAATGCCGATCTAAAATGAAGCTATTTGAATACATTTTGGGAGATGAAGAAGATAACATCTACCCATCCTTCAAAAAAAAAGGAGATGAAGCTGGATTTGGATATGACATTATTCTCCTTAATAAAAAGCACAATTTTTTACATTTGCAAGTTTCTGAGAAGACTGTGGAAACCTTAAATGCTGAGGATAGATATGTGCTACTTAAAATCTCTCCATGCACGTTTTCACAGCAGATGAAGTTGTTCTTCTAAGTGGCAGATATCAATGATGAAGCCCTAACAACACATCAAAGACAAGACAACACCCACTCAAAACAATTCCAAAACATGCACAACAACTGATCCAAAACAGTGAAAAAAATACCTTCATTTCTGTCAGGTGAGGAGGAACCTAGAGCACAGAACAAGATCTCAGTAGGCGGCTCAGCGTTTAGAAACCTGCTCCCTTTCTCCACGGTCAGGCGCCCCACACACCAAGGTACAGGGCTCACACGCTCACGCCACCACACTGACGACACGGGGGACAGAGGAGTATACATACGCTGGGACTGCGACACCATCTTCGTCCGGCTTCGTCCTCTGCAATCGGTCTTGGCACTTCCCATGCCACCAACAGGTGTCGAAAGCTTTGCTCTCATGCGGCCTGAGAAGAAAATATTTCTATAATTAAAAATACTTTTTGATATTAATATTTAGTAAAATGGGGGGAAATCACTATAATCAAGAAGGTAAACTATCACATAATGTGCATGTTATATTTCCCTTTAAAAAGAAAAAGTCACACCATTTTTCACATAGCGTACTTTGGTGAAGGAGTAAGAATGCACTCTCAGAGATCTGCAGTCTTAGTTCGGCATTATTCGTCTAGTGGAGTGGAGCTATGACAGCAGCCACAGACAAGCCACTTGCTACGTAACTGCTTGGTCCAATTCTAAATTTCATTTTCTAGAAGATTTACTTTATTCTCAAATCTAGCATATAGTCTAGGCTATTCTGAGAAGCAAATACAGAAACAAATCTTCTGGCCCAAAACATACTTCTAAAAGGCCTGCTGGAAGAGCTATCCCCACGTACTAGAGTTGATCTTTTGGTTCTGTTTCAAACATGTCTATCTGTATTATTAAGCTCTCTGTTGCTCTCTTGTCCCAACATGAATACAACGACATTAGGAAATACATGCACATACACAAGTATGCACCTCACATGAGAGCTGGCATCTTTATCAAAATCATTCCGCTCCCTCCCTGCACCATTTTCCTCTCCTTTACTACCATCCCATCATTCCCTCCGCAAGACGGGCCATAAACATCCTTATCCTATTTCTAGAGCTCTTGAACAAATTAAACAATACTTATCAGAGTTCTGAAGTAATCTATCATTAAGAAGCAAAATAAGACAAAGAATAAATGATTACCAGCAGGTCTGTGATGGAGCCCTGGTGGTGCAGGTTAATGTACTCAAGGCTGGGTGCTGAGTGAACTCAGCAGCTACCTCAAGGGAGAAGGATATGGTGGCCGACCTCCAGAGACACAGCCTGGGAAGCCCTCTGGGGCAGCTCCACTGTCGGGAGTGTTGCTATGAGTCAATCTACTACATGGCAGTAAATTTCACAGGTACTACTGTGTTCCCTAAAACAACAGACTGAACTGCCATCAGATCCAGGCCAGCCAGTAACAAACAAAACAAAATAAAAAATAAGGAGAGAAGGCCTCAGAGCCTTTTCCGTTAAAAGGTGCACCTTTATAGCATGTATACAACACAGCCTCACACCGTCATATTAAATAAGAAAAGACACACTAGAAGAATGAGGAGAAAGTATAATGTGTGATGGAAGAGAGGACAACTACCAGAATGAGGAACAAAACAGAAGCACACTCAGGTGTGTGACTTCGTTAAAGCAAACTTGGGTGTCTGACTATAGTTAGTTAAGTACTAGCGTCCCCCCAATTTCTTCCAGTCGCCAACTGAGCATGCAGCTCAGGCCTCTTGCCCTTTCACAGTGTTTCACTGACAAGGACACAATCTTCTCCTGACAAAGAGCTGAAAATAGACCAAACTGCATTTTTCAAGTGGAGAATTCACTTACATTCTGTGTAATTTTTCTATATATTTAAGAGCAACAGATGACTATTTTTTACTGGTCCAGTAAAAGGAAATCTTGCATCATTTTTTTTTGTAGTCTCAAACTTAAAATATTTCATTCCTCAGTCACCAATTCAAAATAAGTAAGGAAGACTAAAGAAAAGCTTTTAAACTTTAGTCAGATAGCCATAAAATAATGGTGTATGCTTCACCAAAACAGAAATGGACTGGTATGAATTTAAAACAACTAAATCACCAACACAAAAACACAAGGTGTAATGTCACTACAGAAAAAAAAAAATGAAATGACGCATTAATTTCCAACTGCAAATTATGAAACATGTTAAACAATTATGGTGTTTAAGCATGTGATGATCCAAGATACAAAGCAAAGTCAGAAGTAAAAAAAAAATCTATATATTACTAACACAACCAAACTTAAAAATGTGGAGCTAGCAAATAATACAGATTTGCAAGGACAATTTAGTTTCAACATTTAATTCCTACTAATGAAAAGATTAATGTAGAAGTATTTGTGTTAACTTGCAAAATTTATAATTCTTACCATCCTCAGATGCTGTTCCTAAATAAGAAAAATAAAATAATATTTCAACAAATTCTGCCAAGGTTGATTTTAAGATATAGCTTGATATCCCCACACAAAACTAAAAGAAAGGATGAAAACAAAAAACCCCTATAAGTAGCCTTTACTTAACATTAAAAAGGGCCATTTTAGCAACAACAAATGAATGAAAACCCAACTTTTCTGTAAACTTTTGTTAGAAAAAGAAATTTCAAGTGACATAGTCCCACAGCACATGTTCTTGTTCTCTCTTTCTCTTACACACACACACCCACCCACCCACCCAGACCTGCACACATTATTAGATAATAGAAAATGGCAACATTCAATAGTAAACACTTTTATCTGCTAGCTTCAGTCTTAAAATTGTGAATGGTGAGGAAAATTTGAGGAAATTATTTACTCAAGAAATATGTAGCCCTACATATTCTCTTCATTTTCAATAGGTAATCCACAGAAAAAGTGGAAAAGCCTATTGACAAGGCCAAGGAAACAAATTCATGACATAAGCCTTACCAGTGTGGTGTTTTCTTTTAAATATCTAAAAGAGTTATGAATCCGTTTATCACTCAATACATATATGTGTTCCTTAATCCATTAATCAGTATTAGTAAAATGATGAAAAATAAGTGTAACTACTCATGACTACCAGAATGTCTGCATGCACATAAACAGAGAGAGAGAGAAGAGAGAGGGAGAGAGAGTTTGTGTGTACACACATGTCCCTCTCCAGTTTTGGAGGCTCCTGTGTGAAGCAGTTGGAGCCTGGAGAGCAGGTTGTTTTGATATAATTGAAAGTTGGGTGTAAATGGTTTGGTCATTTTTTTAATTCGTTAATGAGTGTAAACTGATTGGTGTTAATCATGTTTGGTGAGAACACTGTTCTAAGTAATACAGCACTTGCCTGTCTGTTTACTGTACTAAGATAACCTATGGTTGCTGTGATACTGATAGCTGTGCCACTGGTGTGTCAATTCCCCTAAGAATTACCCATGGTGGACAGGGTTTGGTAGAGCTCCCAGATTAAGATAGCTTGATCTTGGAAGCTGGAGTGGCATCCACTGCTTAAATAATAGGCCTCTGAAAACCCTATGAACATTATAGGACATGACGACAGTCAAAGAACAGAGTTCAGATCTTTTGTTCATAGGGTCGCGAGGAGTCACACTCGACTAGATAGCATCTAACAACAAATGTACATCCACACGCCCTATTCTTTACTTACAAACTATCCTGCGATCCAACATTTCACAATTATGACAACAGTAAAAAACCCCCTTTTACAGCTTTTTAGAACATTAATGATGTACATCTGGCAGTAACAACTGCTGAGAGGAAATGCAAGAATAATGATGGGTATGATGGTTAAAGTTACATGTTAACTCGGGCTGGGCCTTAAGTAATGTAAGGCAATGATGTAGTTATCCTCCTTTTGATACAATGTTTATTTCTGCATAACAACCTGATTATGTAGATAAGTGAGGACTGGATAAGTGTGTAAAACATGGTAATGGCATCTTTGAGAGTAAGGTATCATGTATAAAAGGTAACTCCTCAAATAGGTTGATCTGTAGAAGAACAAACTTGTTTTTAAATGATGTAGAATTTTATCATTATAAGTGATACCTACGATTTGACAAATTATTTCCTGATAATTTTCTAGAAAAAGTTAAAAAATTTATGAAATACTATAAATATACAGACAAGCAAAACCTACTATATCGAATTAACATTTATGTATTCAACCCAAAATTAGCTATTTTATTACAATAAATTTTCCATGTTCGCAAAATTTCTCTATTCTTCTAGGATACTGAAGGAGATGCTATTTTCATAATATGACTTACAGATTTAGCATCTTCTGGCAAATTATTAAATTCTGCTTTGATTCATTATTAATTTAAAATTCAGTCTTAAAAAGACACATCTGCAACCTGCATTCCGCTTTCATAAAAAGCCACATGAACTTGTAAAATAGGTCATTTGGTTTCTTTCTGTGTAAGTAACCTGAAGGTCTGATTCAAATGCATTATGTGAGTCCTTTCCATTTTCCTGATTCTATTAATTTTAGAGAAGCAGATCATATTCAGAAGTATACTTCTAACAGCTCAAAAGAAAAATGTCAAAAAGATTTTAACTTACAACTCAGTATTTGAATAAAAAATTCTTAACCCAAAATGCAAAGACCAATGTTGTCATTGTCACATTAACACTGCCTGATAAATAAGCTGTATCATAAATTACAAAAAGAATAAACAAAGATAATTATTAGTCCTGAGAGTTCATAAAAATCCCTAGCAACAGAAATAGAAAAAGAAGTTCTTACCATCCGTCTTGTCAGAAGTATCCTCTTTCATGAAAGAGTAAGCAAAGAACAGAGGAAAACTTAGTATGTAAGGAATTTTGAAGATACAATTTATAACACTGACATATGTATCAAGCTTGTTTTCATCTAGTTCAAACAAGAAGATTAAACAGGATAAGGTTCCTATGGAAGATAAAGACTACACCTAACGCACTAAACTGAAAGCTCCGGTGGCTTAGTGGTAATGAATTACGGTGCCAAACCAAAGGTCTGCGGTTCCAATCTACCGGCTGCCCCTCCTGTGTGACTTACTGCCTCTGAAAACCCGCTGGAGCGTCAGCTATGAGTTGGCTCCGATTCGACGGTACACTGGAACAATGTACTAGAGAGGGTTTTTTAAAAAACTGATATCAAATCAGATTTCTACCAGTCTAGTCAAAGAAAAAACAAAGAAACCTATGTTTCAAACTCGAACCTTTGTTGTCTCACAGAAATCCTCCACTTGGGTCTGCTTTCTTTCTCCCAATCCAACAGTCATATTGTTTGCCTACTTTTTTTTTTTTTTAGAAATCTCTAGTAAAAAAAATATACCTCAAAATTCTACATTTTGTCTGTCTTGTTACTCTCTTGCTTACTGCCTTGCTATTCTCTCCACCCTTAATCCTCTTAGAACTTTCAATTCCTATGAAAACCTTCAAGCGTGAGAAATCTAACAAGTCCCTTTCTCTGCTGCACTAAGGTGTACTGACAGTCTTTCCTCCACCTGACGCATCTCCCCATCTTGCTGGTCTTGCCATGCATCTCCTGTTGCTGTTGTTGTTGTTATGTGCCATCGAGTCGTTTGCGACTCATAGCGAGCGACCCTATGTACAACAGCCCTAAACCCTGCTCTATCCTGTGTCAATCGCATTGCCTCTGACCCACCCATCCCGATTAACCCAGTCACTGAATCATTCCTCCTAGCTGTGATAATTTCAGCTATGAACACAACCGTCTGAGTTCTAGATATTCAGTACCAGTGAGCCTCCAAGGTGTGACTCTGAAGGCCTGGAACAGTGCTGGATCCTCCATGACCCCACTGGCTCTCCTGTAGCTCAAATTCTCTCTTACAGAATCCCTGCTGACACCCAGAAAATGACTCTGACTTCCTGAGCTGAAAATATCAGTAACTTCTCAACTAAAAACTTCTTTTGTGTTTCTCATCAACTTAAAAAATGAAACAAATTTTTTTCTGAAAAAAAATCTACTTATTTTCTCCCCTTCTAGCTCAGTGAAAATGATCCGCCTTCTACACCCACGGCTGACCCCTCAGCTAAGCTGAGTCTATTGCTTTCCCCAAGCCTTCCAGCTTGGCCATGAATCATCTTCTCATCTTAGCATTTCCAAATTTTCATACTTCAATGACTGACACTTTTCACTGTTAACATACAAACATATCTCATGAATCCAATCTAGGGCAGGAAAAAACCAAACCAAAAAAACCCAAAATGTTTTCAAACTATAAAAAGTTTGTTCTGTCATAAGTTGGTTCTAAGAAAAAGGTTCCCTTATTATTTCCTTTTATTATGAGTATTTTTATAAAATGCTAGCTTTGTCTTTAGGGCCAGGGCTATGAACTTACAAATGTTACGACTATCTTTGCGTGCAGTACATATTGCGAACAATTGGATGTGCAAAAATATTACCAAAAATGACCAGCTGGAGGAGCTATTCATCTCAACCCCAACTTGTGACTTGGGGACCACCTGCACCAAGATTGCCAACAGTGTCTTTCATCCCTTTTCTATACTAGACCCAGGAAGGATGAATACTAAGATTCTCTTTCTTATTTCATCTTCAACCAGCCAATAATCTGACTTCTAAACATAAGACAACACTGAAATGCCTTTATTTCCCACTCATCCAAGTAACTTTGTTTTCGCAACACAATTCCAAGCACACAGCAGAATCACTTCATCATCATAATCCCAGTTACGAAACTAAATTCATATATATACACATACATAAATTAAGATGTCTTTAATATACATCTGTGACTGTCTCTCATCAAACCAAGCTCCCTTTTCTAAAGTCTAAAGGTAAAAGGCAAACTTTAAAATGCATGGCCTATCTGCCGAAGAGTCGGGACATTAGGGAAACAAAACCACCGAGCAGCTGCTTTAAGGAATTTATCACGTTCACTATTAAAGAGATCTCACTCTGAAAAATTCTCTAACGACTTCCCAGTCCAAAAGCCAGCAAAAGGCTTTCGCTTAAGTTCTACACCTCTATACTCCAACTCTCTCCTGAATAGCCCAAGTTTGATGTCTCAGAATAATATAAAACTCAGAATACACAAAACTGACCCCACTCTGAGGTATGCGTCTCTTCACAGCAAACAACCAACTGAGAGTGTTAATACCAGTGGGTCTCCTGGCAGGGCACCAGGCAAAAACTACTCTCCTACAATGGTTTTATCTCACTGCTTCATGTTTTGTTCAACTTTTCAGTCATCTGAAATGTATTTTCATAGGCTTTCAAAGACTTGTTTAAACTCAGCTTTGTACCAAACAGTAAATAAACTCTATCAACACCATTACAGAATACGCTTTCATTTCCTCATGGGTCTGAATGCAGCTGTGCCAACTTTATCATGTATTTTTCATACCTACATTTCTGTACTGCTATTCTATTCTGATACCTAACGAGACCTGTACCAGTACTGTTGTTGCTGATTGCTGTCGAGTTGAGCATGACTCAGAGAGAGCCTATGAACAACAGACCTGAAGCCTTTCAAGAACACTGTTTCTTGAAGTTCATAGAGTTTCCAGAGGCGTACTGTTCAGGAACTGGGTGCCACTCCTGCTTCCAAGTACCAGTATTACCATGTTTTAATAATCACAGCCTTACAGTGCTGATCACTAACTAGCAGGAAAGTCGCTTACCCCGGTCATCACAGGTATTTCTGCATCATCGTCATTATTATTATTATTATTATTATTATTACCGTTGGTGCTGTCTAGAAGGAGCTACACTGCTAATCACAAAATTTAATTTTACTTAAATGAAATAAATTTTTAATCTAAATTCAATTTTATGTAATTTTTATATTACATAATTATTTTTAGAAAAAAATCAGCATGTTTTCTTTTTTTTAGTCCTAATAATTTCCTAGCTGATTTTGCTGTGGTTTCTAAAACATCAGTTCTGCAAATTATGTTAACATTTTCTACTTCTTTTTAATAACTTTTAGCCTGATTTTCATGTCATGTTTTTTTGGTTAAAGTGGCTTACGGCAGAATGCTAAAACAACTGTGGCACCCTGCTGTTAATGGACTACTGATATGATCAAGTGCAAGATACTGTCTAAGAAAGTAAAGGGGAAACAAGCAAGTGACTTAAAACGTAATAGATAATATCTATAAGCTGCTGTATCAGGAACAAATGTTAATCTTCAATCGGAGAGTTTTAGACATTTATTACGATGAGTGTGTAATTTTCCTTAACTGCCCTGCGACATCCCTTCCTGATGGGATACCATAATAGCAGACTGCAACGCTGGAAGAATAGCCAGACTGACTATTCTTATTTCTGAGACTGTACTCAATCACGTCTGCTATCATTTTCTTCTCTAGGATGTTGGCATCTACATGCATCAATGACAGGATTTCTTTGAGTTGGCTTTTAGGTTCTGAAATGTCAGTATTAAATATTATACAGTAGGGCTTCTTTTTCACTATCTTCAAAGTTAAGAATAGTTCTTATCTAAAGGGGACTTACTATCAAAATGTTATTCCAATGATCTTTTTTTTTAAATTTTTTTAAAATTATTTTATTATTTGTGTGTGTGTGTGTGTACCGTCAAATCACATCTGACTGGTACAGGAGGAGATTGTCCCTCCTTCCTCGGCAGAGCATCTGGTGGATTCGAACTGTGCACCTCTGGGATTGCAGTGCAGCTTCTTGCCACTACGCCACCAGAGCTCCCCAATTCCAATGATCTTTTAAGGGCTCTGATTTGCTGCTGCACTTTCCAGAAACAGACAACAAAGCAGAAGAGACAGGTGGCTCTCGACCAAGTGCACACATAGGAATTACTTCGGAAACACAGACACGTCTCAAAGCAGTTCAGCCTGTGCTCATTTCACTTGCCTAGTTATCTGGGCCAGAAGGAAACATCCTTTCATTTTCAAATCAAATACATAAAAATCTTAAAGGCATCAACAGAAGGAAAAGGATGCAATGGTGTAGATAAGAAAATCAGGGTGCCAGATAAAATCTTAATAGTAATGGTAATGCAATAGAAGGAGGTGTTCCAAACTGTTTCCTGTCCACACATTAAATATTGACTCACACAGGTTTCCTCAATTAAAAATGTCAACCACACAAATATGAAAATTGTGTTAACCATTTTAAGTACACATTAACATGGAAATATGTACCTCCGCATTTTATACTACAAAAATTTCACAATAAATTATTACACCCTTAAGACACATTTCTAGTGTTTACATTGCATTTAATGACAAAGTCAAAAGAAGAGTTTGAAGAGAAAGTTTTAGGAATATACGACTGAGCTGTGATTGGATACACTCTTAGGTATCTAAAATACTTTGAATTTTTTAGTCAAGAAAAAGAGAAGAAAGCAGTGGGATACAAGGCCACTGTCTCTCCCAAAATCCTTTAGGACCAAAGGCTTGATGTAGCAGAATTACAGAGCGAGGTGACAATGTGACAGGCAAACCATGGTATCAGCAATGAGTCCTCTCATCAGCCTGACGATGCGGAAGACAAGGCAGTTTAGACACTATTGTGCTCCAGTTTAGATCTGAATTAAGATACGTCAACTAACTTTACTAACAACAAAGAAATCATCCTGTGTTCACAAGGCCAGGAGGAACACTGGCCAGCTTCCTGTCCTTGCTGTCTTACCGAGAGATGCATAGGAACCTGCATTCAGGGCACCCGCCCCCAGGCGTCCACTCCGCACGGACTGCCCGGCAGCATGATGGGCCTTGGCACCGGCCGCAGCATTCACGTCAATGTCGCTCCGCGAACGCTGCAGGCTTCCTGGGAGGGAGCTGGCTTTGCTGCTGCTGGCCGACACTATGAGAGACAAAGCAGAGGTAACCCACGGTGTCGAAATCACTGTCGAAACCAAAGTAAACCCCACACACCCCGCAAATCAATCCCAACTCATAGCGATCCTACAGGTCGGAGCAGAAAGGCCTCAGAGGGCTTCCAACGTGGTAAAGCGTTAACCAAAACACTGCCACAGGTCCTGGGGAGCAGCGCGGACGTTCAGACAACTGACAAACAGCTGCACAGTGCTTACTCACTGTACCACCAGGGCTCTTTAAACCTCCGCAAACAGCATAAAATTTAAATAAACATCGTCAGCTAATCCATGGAACAAAGGGTCAATAAAACCGCATTGGTCCAATGGCGAACACAATACAGAGTATTTAGAAGTCAGAAGGTCTCCACCTGTATCCTTACCAACTATAGTTTCTAAGGGCAATGAGATCATGCTGGGGCGGAAGTAGTTTTATTTCTTTATTAAAATACTTCTAGTTTTCTTTTTTAAAAACTTATTTTTATTTGAGTTTACATATCATATTGCTATTTCACGCAATTACTCAAATAATTTGTTTTATAACATTAATTGGCACCAATTCACATCCCCACTCGTGTAATCTATCGGGGTTTTTATTTACTGGGTTGTTTGGAAAATGGTCTTCCCCCACTGTGAATCACATGAAAGCAGATTAAGTATTACTGACTTAGAGATAAAATGTTATCATTTTTAGAAAGGTAATTTACCTCTTCCAGCCACAGCTGAGGGATTTGCCGTAGACCATTTAGATGAAAAAGGACGACTGCAAAATAAATTTAAAAATGCCTTTAGTAAGTTAGAGGGTACAATCTTGAAACTTGAAGAAAATGAATGTTAAAATAAAAAGTTCCCAAAGTACTTCTAGTTGAAACTTTCATTTTACAAACCACTTCAAAACAGTTGTCCTTAAACATATGTTATCATAGTTCAATGGCGTTTCAACAGGTTGTGAGAGGGGGACAAGATAAAATAACTAGCAGTGGAAAAAAAGCCTGGAAGTAAAAAAACCCTGTACTTTGCTCATTCTGGTCCTCATCACGCGGAACTCAACAGTGGCTCTCAACCACCTGCGGCCCGCTAGTCCTCAAGAGAGAGTCAGGGTTATCACTGCCGTGTGCTGACAAGTTGGAAGTGACTCATCTGACCTTCCAGAGGTTTCCAGAGGCTATAAATCACATGAGAGGAGACGGCCCATCTTTCTCCTGCAGAGCTGGTGGACTGGAACCGCATACTTTTGAAGTGGAAATGCAACTCCTTATAGCACGAGGCCAGCAGAGCTCCCTCGGGTCATTATTACCAGTTTACAGGAAACTTGGCATAGCCACAACCTCTTCTACCTAAACCTGGAGGTGGTGGCCACTGGGAGTTTATGCAGTTATCAAGCATATACATACATACATACAGCATATACAGCACAGCAGGCGGCATGGATTCGTGCTAACCCTAATGGGGAACCTTTCTGCAGGTTTGAAGTCGTCTGTCAATCTCCTCCCACGGGATTTACACATTCAGAAAACCTGCTGGAGGGTCAGCTGGGGTTCAGTTCACATCAACAGTAAAGAGAGGAGTCCTGCTGAGAGCCACTGCCTGTGACAAGAGGAGAAAAGCCACAAGACTTTGTCGAGGACACACTGACATTTTTGAGAAGATGCTAACAAATTATCACCTTTAAGAACCTGTCAAGGGAGCTCTGGTGGCCTACTGGCAAGAAGCTGCACTGCAATCCCAGAGGCGCACGGTTCGAATCCACCAGATGCTCAGCAGGAGAAGGAGGGACAATCCCCTCCTGTACCGGTCAGATCCGATTTGACAGTACACATACACAAAAGAAATTAATATAATTTTTTTTAAAAGTTAAAAGAAAAGAACCTCTCACCTCTCCATTGTTTGCTTATCTTCAATTATAATGAGATCATGCAGTCCACACACAAACAATACATTTAAACAATTATGCAAAGGAGACCTGGAGAGAAACTAAAATCCCAAGCCAGTATGTGTGACAGAAAAATATTATTTAGTTATGTTATCAAATACTAAATTTCTTTATTGGTCCTTAAACTCAATGTTATATTATTTTTTATAACCATCCTTAAAAATCTACAGTAACAGTCTAATATAGTATTTGTTCTTTTGTGACTGAGTTCTTTTATTCAGCACAATGGTATGCAGTATCTTAGACTATTGAGTTTTTGTGTGCCTCTTTCGTTTCAACCTCATCCAAGCTCCAATTTCGAGGATTTGCCTTGATAATCAGCGGTCTCTCCCAAGGAGAAGAAACGCGGAGCAAAGTAAACTGATGTTCTGTGAGTCACTCTTCTCAGGGAAATGTACAAATACTTGGCACTTGTCAAGAAACCATTAAGATGGACAGAGGGCAACTGCTTAGAAGGAGAGAAGCCATGAGAGCTTTTGATAATCTCACTGGCTTAGAGAGACAGGGCTGCCAAACAGCGAAGACTGCAGGACGACTCCGCGTCAGCTCTGAGTCGTTTCTGACTTGATGGCACATGACCACCAACGCCATGAGAAGGAAGCAAGCTACATACCAGATTAATTCTGCTCCCTTTAAGGATGTGCTGAATTAAGCTGTCCAAGGGATTGAGAAAACAAAGTTGTGGGAATTTTACAAGGCTATCAAAGAACGGTGACAATATCTGAACCTTCATTACAATGCTGTAGAAGTGGGTTAGTTACTATAAGCATTCTTTCTAGCACACATTCAATTAAAAAGTATACAAATCAGTGATTTTCAATCACAACCATCAACTTACAGAGAAAAGGTGCTCTACTATAAGAGATGAACAAAGTTTGGGCTTGAGATGAAAGCAAGCAATGTTCAACCCTCCATCTTCAGTAATCACAGCCACCCCATCTGCGTGGAGCAGACTGCCACCCAGGGCTTCCAAGGCTGTGACCTTTCAGCAACTTGTGTTCTGAAGCAGCTCTACGTGGGTCTGAACTACCAACCTTTTGGTTACAGCAGAGTGTGTGGTAACCTTCAGCTTGGCCTAACAATCACCCAGGAAACTCTTGAGTGTGAGCAAGAGGAAGAAACGAGAAACGATGACATGTGTGAACTTACTTGAGACTCTCTTGTGAGCTGGATGAGGACCTGTCTGACTGAGGAAGAGACGCCACACTCCCAGAGCTCTTTAAGTAAGTCTGCAGGCTCTTCTGGTAAGACGGCTCCAGGGAGTTGTACAACGTCTCAGCTTCACCAGGGAAGTGGTTTCTGAGACCCATATACGTCCTGGAAAGGAAACAAAGCCGAAGGTATTATTAGATATTAAGAAATATGTACAATCAAGAATAAAGATGACCCCATAGGTCTTGAATGCATCTACTATTAGGGATGATAGAAAGAGAAGTGATGTCTTTGAGCTGTGATGCTGGAGAAGAGTGCTGATTGGACTGGTAAGAAAACAAACAGGTTTGTCCTAGAGAGGGTGAAGCCAGGCTGCTCCTTGGAGGCAAGATTCTGAAGCTTCATCTGACATACTTTGGACATGTTGCAAGGAAGGACTGGTCGGACATCATGTTTGGGAGGGTGGAGAGACAGCGCAGGAAAGGAAGACCCTCAATGAGACTGATCGATTCTCTGATTGGGGTGGTGGGAATGAGTGTGTTGGAGACGGTGAGGTTGGCAAAGGATAGAGCAGGGTTTAGGGATCTTGTACACAGGGTCGTTATGAGTCGCAAGCGACTCTACAGAACATAACAATGACAACAATGTGTGTCAGTAGCCCTGTCACGTACAGTTTCCGTGCCCTTCCGAGTAAACCACAAAATCTCCAAACCTCAACTGCCATCTACAGCAGTAACACCAACTTTACATAATTATCACAAACATACCCTGTCTCTCATGAATGTGAGGTAGAATGAGTGACAGTTACTTTTCTTTTTAACTCATAATGAAAAGATATAGTTTATAGTGAAATAGGAAAACTGATGGTTATCCAAATGAAAAATTCAGAAAGCACTGCAGATTTAATGGAGAAAAACCCAATTGCTATTTTTTCCACAAGCCAGGGAAACAGAGTATTTCAGATATTTTTAGTCTTCCAGCAAAATTCATTTCCGAGAAAAGATCAAAGTGTTGAGAATGTCGTAAGAATGCCCCGTGAACTCACTTCCTCGCCTCCACTCTGGCCTCAGCATCTGCGTCATGAATGCCCTTCTTAATTGTTTCAACCAAGACAGCTGCATGTCTGTAAAAAATACATCGTTATCGTCAAGTATAAAGGTGTTCATTTCACCACAAAATAACACCGCCTATATGCCAATGTCAATCACAAAGGGGCAAAGGAAGTAAAAGACTAGTCAGCTCAGCATAATAAATCCCACACAGCAGAACTGGTCAAAGAATCGACCTGAAACCTTCCATTCATGGATGGGTTCCCCCTTGTGACTGACTCACTAAAACATAAAAACAAGCGTTTCTATAATAAATCTAGATAATAAAAATACTGCATATGAACTTTTTTTCATTAAAAACAAAACCAAAAAACCCCTTCTATGTAGTCCCTCACTAACTTACCCACTTAAAAAAGTTATGAGAGTATAATCCATTATGATCAGACCAATCTGAAACGGGACATTATATTTTCCTTGTATTAAACAGTTCTTTACTTAAAAAAATGCAACAAAATAATTAATGATTTCCATGAAAATGAAAAATGAGCCATAGCTTCACTAATGAGAAATACAGCTTTCCAGCGCTGCCCAATTTTTTTCTTTCATCTTAGAGCTACTTATTTCTCAGAATAAAATTTATCAATGAAATCTGATGGCTGATGAGGAAAAACTTTCCAAAAAAAGGGTCTTAAGCTTTTTCCTCGGAAAAGGTGTCTCTGCCTTCCCTATTTTCTTTTCTGCTTTCAGTATTACATTATTCATCAGCTGATTAATTGTACCTCAAGAAGCCTATTTCAGATGACTAGAAATGCATGTTGAAAATCTTTGCCCAACTCAATATGCAGTGTCTAATAGAGGTTCTATCTTATTCTACTTGAGAGCCTTGTCCACCCCACAAAGAAGAAACATTCACTCCTCAGAGCTGCAATGATTGACTATAATGCTACAGCTCTGACAGAAGATCAATACAAATGATCTTTTTAAAAATGAGCAATATTGCAATACTAACACTATCAATTTCTAAACAACTAGGAAGAATGTAGAAGGACGTGGGAGGAGGAGGGAAGGGCAGTCCATGTGTACCTTTCCAGCGAGTGAGTCTGCCACTCTTGTAACAGCAAATCTAAAAATTCAAATGAGCGTCTGAAAAACAGAAAGTTAGTTCCAGTTAAATGTTGTAGTAAGAACTGCATTAAGGATTCCTTCTATACTGTATTTTATCTCCGAAGTAAAGGGTAAGTTTATTTACAATTTCAGTATTTTAGCCCTTGAACAATTCTTGATTTGTTTACTCCAAATAGTCTGATGTTAAATGACTTTAAAAAAAAAGACCCTGAGTTCACCAACTATAAAATAGACCAATTTCATGGGTTAATTTAAAATATTTGTGATGCAGTTATGACGCTCTCTACATTGAACTTGTACAAGGTGTCCTGAGGGATGCCAAGCAGATGTTGCATTCCACATTACTGTATTTCCTCATATACGTGTGCATATGTACACATGTGTACATGATTTTCAAATAAAAGTTTGTACATTTTCTCCTACGTCCTTCTCAAATATTTCAACTGTCTCATTTTTGAGCTCCTCTTCTTCCCTTGTATCTGATGACACAACTTTGCTCAGGTTCTGTAATATTTTTCTGTACCCCTGACAGTACTGGATATCGAGTGTTTTGCTGCTACTCAACACTGCACTTCTCCGGTGGTTCAAATCCACCAGCAGCTCTTAGGGAGAAAGATGGACAGTCTATTCCTGTATGATTTACAGCCCCAGAAACCTAAGAGACGATGAGTGATGAGTAAAAAATGATGGCAATGAGCAAGAGAGGCCCTTAAATACACATGCTCAATGCCGTGGAGCCAATTCAAACTCCTAGAGACTCTTGACCAGATTTCTGAGGCTGTTATCTCAACAGGAACCTTTCTACCTCACAGCTGCACATGTAAGAACATCGCAGGAGAAGCGCAGCCCTAGGCTTAGCAGCGCTCCCGCTAGCTCTATTACTTATGTTTTTGTTTCTTTTTAAAGAACACTTTATTGTGGTTTGAGTGAAAGCTTAATAGCAAACTAATTTCCCATTCAAATATGTATACATATTTAGGCTCATAACACTGTTTTAAATCCCTTTAATGGGCACGTACTCTTCCCACGTCCTCCCCAGGTTTGGTAACACTCATCTTTCATACCTCTTCCTGCTTTTTTAACAGTGTGGGGTCTTTTTTCAAACATGACCCTCTGGGTCTTATATAGAGGACTGTTCTCTTTCCCCGCAGGTGTTACTTTACGGCCTGCTGGTGTTTGAATGAGAAGTGATCTGTAGAAGTAGCTTCAGGTCCAGTCTAGAAGGTGCTGAAGGACCACAGCTTTGACTGTTTCGTCCACAGGCTTTTCTAAGTCCAATAACTGGGGATTCACGTCAATCCAGTAAGTCTGATCTTTTTTATGATTTTTAAATTTCATTCTACATTTTTCTCTCATGCTGTCCGGAACTTCTATGAGTTATGCTTTTCATATCTAATCTTTCAACCCCAAGACTGATTTGTCCCCTCACCTGGTAAGGTGAAGCGCCTATTGGCTCACGGACATGTCTATGCAGGTTCAGACTATCAACCTAAACACCACACAGAAGAACTGGGTATAATCAAGTCTCTGAATCCATACTGGTTATGTTATATAAAGTTATCATGACACTAAATTAGTAAACACCGTATTAGCTCCTAAGAGAAATACTGAGTTTGCTTCCTGAGACTCTAGCTAAAATACTCTCATCGACCAATCGACAGAAAGGCTTGTTTTATGTGTTTCTGTTTCATGTCTCTGCAGCACCTACACAGAGGTTACACCTCAAACACCTGCCCCTGCAGTTACTGAACTTCGTGTTCCTCATTTTCAAAGCAACTATGAGAACCTCACTTCTCTAGCAAAATCACTATTTTTCTTGATATAAGCCCACCCACTGCCATGGAATCAATTCCAACTCTACGGGATAGAACTGAACCAGTCTACTGAGGTCCGACGGGAGCGCTGGTGGCCTAGCGGTAAGAAGCTGTGCTGCAACCCCAAACGTACATGGTTTGAGTCCACCAGCTGTTCCATGGGAGAAAGATGAGCAATCTCCTCTCGCCTGATTGATGGCCTCTGAAAACCCCCTGGAGGGTCAGCCATGAGTCAGTCCTGACTGCACGGCACACAATAACAATAACAACGGCTTTCCAAGGCAGACGTTATACAGATACAGACCGTCACATCGTTCTCCCTCAGAGCAGCTGTGGGTTCCGATCATGAGCCTTTAAGGCAACCACCCAATGCTTCATTTACAATGCTGCCAGGACTCTTTTCTTGGATGTAAAAGGACCCAATAAATATTTTAGATTTTGCAGACCACAGATAGCTTCTGTTTCACAATCTCCTTCTTCCTCTCTTAAAAAAAATAAGCACCATTCTTTTTTTCTAAATTTTATTTTATTCATTTTAATGAACATTTACAGAGATTCTGGATTTTCATTCATTCATTGTTGCACTTTATTTAATAAGCAACACTCTTAACATGAAGACTGGACAAAAGTGGACTGCTTAACAGAGTCAGACAGCTGAACTGCTCTCAAAGATTCTGAAACACTCAGATGGCAATAATGTTGTCTAGTTCAATTTCTCCCTGGCACAGAAAATTCTTCAACAGATATATTTATCAAATTGTTTAAAAACTTTTAATATTCCTAGGAAGTTGATGGACTAGTGGTAAGGAGTGGCGCTGTCCACCCAAAAGCAGGCAGTTCAAATCCACAAACTGCTTAACAGTAGAAAGCTGGGTAATCTCCTGCCGTGCACATCATAGCTTCTGAAAACCTCCTGGAGGCTCGGCTATGAGTCGGTTCCAACTAAGTGACATATAACACAACAACATGATGTCTTCAACAGCAAACAGCTCAATCTTATTTTAGCTATCTCTGCTACTAAATGACAAAGCCCTGGAGGCAGAATCTTTTATATCTTGTGCTGATAATGGAAAGGCTAGTGGTTCAAATCTACCAGCTACTCTGAGAGATAAGGTGGAGAGAAAGCCTCCTCTTATAAAGACTTACAGCCTTGGAAACCTGATGGAGGTTTGTCCTGAGTAGGGCCTGACTTGACAGCAGTGGGTAACTGATGGTGATGGTGTCGGTCCTAAAAAATGTGGTAAAAGTGGAGAGAAACCAGGTGCATTTGAAGGCAAGCATGCAAGCACAGGAATGGGAACGCTGACTTTGTTCCACATACCAGGCTAAATTTTAGTAACGTGTCCTTCAGTGTTTATTGTATAATCCCAACAATCCCATGGGATCATATCATTAGTGCTATTAACACACACAGACATTCAGGTTCAGAACAGCTAAGCAACTGCCAAGTCAGGCTGGCCGGTCAGCAGCAGCTGCAGGACTCAAGTCCAGACCCAACTCCAGACTTGCTGAAACCCAAAGCAATTCATTGTCCCAAAGAGACCAAAGTGTGTCTTGGGGATTTCACCATGCATTTTTGCTAACATGATGACGGTTACAGATTCTGGAAAGCAGGAAGTTAGTATCAAATAGTTTTTGCACCTGACTTAAGGACTAAAGAGAATGCAGTACTGAAAGTTGTAATTTTAAAACATTATTTTTCCCAAACTTACCTCCTCACTGGAACTGACTTTGACGTACAATTGCTTGTTATTAATGGTATGAGGCGGGGTACATGGGTATGCTGAAAAGACATATTAGGAAAGGTTGAAAAATATTCTCAACTTCACAAAGTCCCTTCTATTTGCTTCAAGTTTACATGTTCAAGACAGCAGAGGGTAATAAAAGTATAAAATTGGATTCTGAGAGAAAATAAGGGCAGTCTTCACTTTTCCTAAGTTAGAGTAATGAGAACCGTTTCAATCGGTCAGCAGTTGTTGTTCTTTTATACAACATACAACATATACAAGCCAATGACATAACTGGAAAGAACTATTAAGATAACCTTCTTTTTGGGGGGGAATCTATTAAGATCTAAAACACTGGAAATATTATCAGATTATTTCAAAGATCATTAAACTCTAATAATGATATACTAACAAAATGAGCAAATCACAGGATAAAATAGACAATCACGTAAGACTTAATCATTACAACAAATGCAAAATTCTAATTAAATTAGTGGGGCATGATTTTAGCATTATCATAATGTTCAACAGCCAAGAAGAATTTAGCTGTCAACCAGAAGATGGGCGTTTACAGACGTCCCAGGGCAGTAGTAGGATGTGGCGGTCAGCTCCAAAAATCACGGCACTGGAGGCCCCGTGGGATTCCACTCTGTCCTACAGAACCCCTGTGAGTCAGCACTCGGCATGTGTACGCACACACCCAGTGGGTACACCTACTCACTCAGGTGAGTGCATTTTGCTGAAGAAAGGAAGACCAGCAAGGAGAAAACCTACCCGAATGATGAATCTGATTGCAGCACATCCTGATGTTGCCATGACTTTTGCACTATTGGGGACGAGGTTAAAAAGTGTCGGTACAATGGCTTCAGCGCCATGATCGAACTTGTTTCCCAAAACGGTTGACAGATGACTACAAAGGAAGCAAAAGAAAACAATTTCTTTTTTAAAAAAGAAATAGGCTCAAAAGTAGTCTTTAAACAGGTTAACATTAAAGATACAGGTAGGCCCACAAAACTGAAAATACATAGAATTTTAAATCATTCTTTTCATTAGTTAGGAATTTAAATTAGTTCAAGTAACTGAAAACCAAAGAGAAATGTTGTTGTTAAGTGCCGCTGAATCATAGATAACTCATAGTGACCCTATGAACGAAGACCTGAACACCCGTATAACTTTCATCGTTTCTCCAGGTTCATAGGGCTTCCTTCCGGAGGCAAGCTATTTCAGAAGTGAGTGCCACTCATGCTTCAAAGCTTGTTTTAATTGGGGAGCTCCACCAAACACTGTCCACCACTGGTAACCATTATCGCATTTGACACATCAGTGTCACAGAGTTTAGGTAAAACAGAAATAGACAGTGCAAATATTAATAGAGTAATTTCTTTTCCCAAACTTTTAAACAGATACTCCAAAGTTAAAACTTGGCATTTTCCTCCCACTCCTTGCAATGGTACTTGGAAATCTAACAATTACAGTCACTCTCCACGTTACTAACAAGACCTGTTCCGATGTCTAGCCTCAGCCATCTGCTGGTCAGTGACCACAGGTGCACAGGGCTTGTTTCCGCAGGGAGGGAAAAGGCTCTGAGCCTTTTCAGTGATTTAAGAGTTGAATGTGCAACAAGCAAATTTACCGTAATGAACAATTTAGTATTTTTAAGTCTTCTTCTACTAAGTACATAGTTTTTGTTGTCTGTTTCTAGTTTTGTTTTTTCTTCTCCTCCTCATTATAGGTCCCACTTTCTAGTGTTCCCGTGCCTGGTGATCTTTCAGTAGATGCTGTCTGCTGTGGACTTGGGCTGCTGTGCGCCTCAGAAGCTGGTCCGAGCAGGAGAGTGAACAACCTTCAAAGTTGGTTTAGCACTGTTTCCAGGCTTAGCACTATTTCTAAACTGTGCCCATTTTGGTCAGACTGAACCGTTCCCAGCCGTACAGGAGCTCCAGGAACTGTCATTCATCAGACAGCTCCCGGGGCAGGATTTTGTCCCCAGCTCAGGCAGCTGCACCTTACACGTGTACATATCAGTATTCCGCTAATTTCACAGGCTGTCCTGTGCTGCTTCCTATTGCTAATTCTGTGTCTCTCTCTTCTCTCAGTTCTCTGCCCTGCAAACTGAGATTGCTCTGCTCGATTTCAGACCCACTTCCCTTCTCCAACCTCCAGAATCTGTGTGATGATGCTAATTTGTTTCTCTCAAGAGTCACAGTCCGGTGTTTTTCTACATATTTTGCTCAGTTTTCTAGTTGTTTTTGATGAGAGGGTTTGTCCATCCAACTACTGCATCATGGCCAAAACAAAAGTATCATCATGGATTATGTTTTAAGGCTGTATTTCTTTTTTTCCCCTTCATTGTTTTGGCTTTCTTTTTGCTAGTTCAAGATAATCATTCTGGTATATTATCTTGCATCTACTAGCTTTGCTAAAATCTCTCAATGATAATAATATTTGTCAATTATTTTTCAGATTTTCTTAGGGTTTTCCACATGGATAATTGGTTAATAATAGCAGTTTTTCCTCCCTTTCTCTCTTAGACCTTCTATTTTGTTGTCTGTCTGCTGTTTTGACAAATATAAATTTACTAAAAATATTGACAGTGAGCACTTTTGTCTTGCTCATTACCTAAAAAGGCTAGTTTATGCAACAACAGTACTTAGTTTGGGAAAGAGGAAAATGTTCAATGAGCTAGAATGACACAATCTGACTGGTAATGGGCTCAGGTATGTCAGAGATGGTGAGGAGGGCACAGCACAGGGCAGGACAGAGGTCTGTTGTTCACTGGGTCACGATGAATCGTACTAACTCGACGACACCTAACAAGAGCAACATTCTAGTACAGTGGAAGAGCACAAGGATGTAGAATAAGCTCAAATTCTCACAGGTTAATGATGCAAGATACAATTCCAGGGTAACTGCTAAAATATCAGAAACAAAGCGCTTAAATCCATGCTAAATATACCGAGCTTTCTTCTTTACTTTTAGAAAGCTAATGAGCAGAGACCCTGTGGACTTTAGAAAAAGAAACACATCCCTATCAATTTTTAAGCGGTTACCCAATACCCTACATTTTAAATAATTTTTTCATTTAAAAATGTTTCTGTATCACACACTTTTTTAGGTTGTCCTGCTTTGCTTTAGGACCACTGAATGAATACTAAATTCATTAAGAAAAAATAAATATCACAAAGAGAATACACTTACGCTACAGTAATGCAAGCTTCCCTAACCACTTGGGATCGAAGGTCCTTGGCGGAGAGTTTAAGTGCACCGTCCAACAGGCGCAGGTGCTGAAAGAAGCAATCATACTGCGCAGCGCCAGCTACGAGCAATGATCGAATTTTCTTAAGCTGAAACACAGAGCGTTTTCATGACTGACGTGAAAGGTGGTGTGAGGGGGGGAGGGAAGACAAGGAAAGAGGGGAACAGCATAAACCTACACAAAATATTAAAAAAGAAATCAAAGCAAGTATGTTTTAAATGCCATTGTAAGTGTTTATTCAGACATTTTAGTAGCATTAAATATATCTGATAAATACATAATACAAACAGAATAAAAAAGCCTTCTGGAAAAGGATATGGTAGATTTAAACAGACATGGGGAGTATTAAGTAGATATGCTCTTAGGGAACTTCACTTTTTACTGTGACAAAATATATGCAACAAATTTACCATTTTAAGATGTACAATTCAGGGGCATTACGTTTGTTCAGAATGTCATGTAACCATCTCTACCGAGTAATAAGAAAAACTATTTTTTTAAAGGGTCAAATTTGGTAACTATAATATTCATATGCAAAAATGCAAATCATAGCTGTCATCACATTTATATTTAAGTGTGTCCACATTTAGTTCATGGAGCAAATGACCCTTTCTCCCTCTAGTGGCAGAGTCCACAGTGATTCGTGCTAATCCATAAATCGTGCATCTCCCTAAGTTCAAATCCACGAGAGGCTCTGCAGGAGAAGGATGGGTACTCTCCTTCCATTAGGCTTTAAAACCTCAGACATTCAAAGGGGAGTACTTTCAAACGACACTGTTCTCGGCGTTCCTGAGGATGCTTGGCTCTGCAGTTAATAATGTAGATGTAAATTCATATACTTTAAAATAAAGAAAAAACCTGTTGTCAATTAAGTATTATTTTAAAACTTACCAAATGTTATCCTCGAAGAAATGCAGCTAAATATTTTTTTCTCTACTCATAGATAACAGACCTTATCTAGCTTTTTGGTAAGTGAGAAATATACATCACATTCAGAGATATAGAAGAAAAGGAAAAAAGGCTAGACATGCTGCTGTGAATTCATGTCAGTGCTGTGAAAATATTCAGTTCACACAGGCAAGGAGAACCATCCCACTGGTAAACCTCATTACTACATGAACAGGTGAGAGTACCGATGTGCACTCTTGCAGCTCTCCAGAGAAACCACGTCCTTCTTGGTCAGTAGCACTTGTGAAGACGTTAGGTTCCTGGGTGGCACCTGGCCTGTACTTGACTACTAATAAAAAGTTGTAGTTTAAGTCCATCCAGTGGTACCATGGAAGGCACTGGTGGTCTTTCTACATTACAATGACAGCTAAGAAAACCCAACGGGGTGGCTCCCCTCTACCACAGGGCGCCTCTTTTCTAACAGGGATGGCTCCCCTCTACCACAGGGTGGCTCCCCTCTACCACAGGGCAGCTTTCCTCTACCATGGGGTAGATGGTTCCCCTCTATGAAGGGGCAACTCCCCCCAACCACATGATACAGCTCTACTCGATCACGTCAGCACCAGTTGGAATCAACTTTGTGGTAATAGGTATGAATTTTTTATTTTGTTGGAAAGGCTAAAAAGTGGATGGGCTGGGTGTGATCAGTATAACTAGGATAACAACTGACTCAAACCAAATGACCCAAGAATTGAGAGATAAAATGGCACGTTAGGAGGCAGCAAGTGTATGTTACTGAGGAAGCAATGACTCAAAGATGGTGAGAATGGTTACAGAACGAAAAATCACAACCAGTGTCACTGCACTGGGCGCTGTACAGACAGAAACTGTCAACTGGCGTTGTTTTCTCCTGTGTCTTCTCAACAACAATAAAAACTTAAATTACCAAAACAAATAAATTACCATAAGACATAAAATGTCAGCCCATGTTATATCTAGTATAATCTCTGTTTTTCACAAAGCAAATCATACTTAGCAGACTCTACTATATGCTAGATATTACTACCCATAAATTTCCACATATTAAAAAAATGAACACTAAAAAAGAAAGAAGGGATAAAAAGATTTTTAAAAAAACAACTTACTGCATTGGCACGCTGATCCCAATCATGTTTGTCATCTGACAAAATTTCCCTGATTTTATTTAATGTTTCTTCAAGTTCTCGGCTAGAATAGATCTTAAAAGAAAAAAGATTCAGAATTGTAATAGTATTTCTTGAAATAACTAACATCAAAATTATGTTTTGACTTTTAAAATAAAAAGTTATAAGGTCATTTCTAGCATTATTATTATGGGTAGAGAAAGACTATAGACAATGTTTTAAAGTGTTTTATTTGTGTCTTATCTGTTACTCCTTTTGCTATTTTCTTCATAAGTAATTTTAAATATACTCTTAAATGTTTTTAAACTTAAAAACAAGATGTAAATGTCCAAATAACTAGTCAAGATGGGTCTAATTTCTTAAAATCAGATATTTAACACAGCTTATTGGACCCTACATTTATTACAAAATACTGCAAAAAGAATGTGCTTTTAGTATTTATTTTTTTCTTCCCTGCAATATTATGCTTTGTTTTTGCTAAATTCATGTGCCAAGCAGCTAAATGCAACTACTCCAGTCATTCAACAAATACCCATTTAATCAGAGTTCACTATGTTGGGCTAAAAGGAAACTAATGTGAAAAAAAATGCCCTCAGTAACCAATAATATTCTTAATTTAACAAGAAGAAACCCAGTGACGTGACCAAAGTTGCACAGCTGATACGGACTTAAGATAAAATCCAAGCAACAATGAAAACTTGCCCAGGTCACAACAATGACACATGTTGTCTCATGGCAAATATTAGGAGACTGCCCAAAAAGAATGGATCTCATTCATTTAGTGGTTATGGGAATAACATCCCCCAAGAAGCAACATGAAGTGTAAGGTCTACTAGTTACTGAAGGTATATGGGCCAAGTAATGGATGTCACTCCTTTTAAGAAGTCATCGTTGTCGCTGATTGCTTTCGAGTCGAGCACGACTCACTGCGACCTTATGAACAAAAGGCCTGAAGCCCCTCTACAACTATCGACATTTATCAACGTTCATAGTTTCTAAGAGGCATGTTGTTTTAGGAAGATGATGTCACTCCTGCTTCCAAATTTTAAGAAGTAACCATATTTAAATTAAGAAAAAGATATTGAGGAAACCTTCAAAAAATAATGTTAAGGATTTAGGGGGCTCTGAACTCATGAAGCAGGCATTTGGAAGGTGAAGGTGTGGGTAGGGTCATGGAAGGCAGCACTGGATAAAGGTGAAAGAGCATTTTATCTTCCACACAGTTGAACAGTCCTTGGCTTCAATGATGTCACGAGGCCATAAGACTCACAATTCATTCAACAATGAAAAATCCTCAAACGCAGTAAGTTTTACTAGTTGCTCCTCCAACACTAATCCATCTCTCATTTTAAAAAAAAAAAGTCCTGTAGAGTACAAACAGTGGGGGTGTGGTTTCTACTAAAAAAAAAAGAAGTTCAAATAAGAAGGATGGACCCAATAAAGGGACAACAGAACCAAAACAGAAACGTTTCTAAAGTTTTCTAGAAATGTTTAATATCTAATTAAGTAATTCCCAGGTCAATCATTCCTTTCAAAAAACTTTCAAAAACCCACAAAAGAAAACAGTTAAAGATAACACTTTTTAATAGTCTATAGGAATTTAAACTGTCAATCAACCTATAGAATAATGGCTGAGAAAGTTGAAAATGATAACTATGTAACTGAACCCTTACAGTTAAACTCTAAAGAAACTCTTCAAAAAATCAGGGTTACAAGTTTCACTGTAGCACAGTCTGGAAAACCAGTCAGTTAGAAACAACTTTAATGTCCATGAGAACTATGGTCTGTTAAGACAAGAACACTCTCAAAGTGAATTAATCAGAGTTGTACATTTTATGATGAGAAAAATAATACTGAAGGCAAAGTCAAGATGCAAAATGCTATTTATAATATACTATTTGCATTCATTTTTAAAACAGGGAAATGGTATTTGCACATCTTATTTATGCATGGATTAACTCTGTTTAGGTCAATTACTTCAACGCAAAAATGATGTCTATATTTCTATTGTCAACTTATCTCCAACATTTTTTGGGGCTCAAAATTCTTTCATTCAAGAACTTGAACTTTAAAACTACAATGATGGAAAAGTCTGTTGTTAGGAACCTCTCCAAAGTACTGAACAGCAATGGTGTCTCTCTGGAGACTAAGGTGCATCTGATACAGGCCATGGTCTTTGCAATCACTTGTTATGCATCAGAGAGCTGGGCAATGACTAGAGATGACAGAAGAATTGATGCATTTGAGCTGTGGTGCTGGAGAAGAGTATTGAGTATACCACAGAATGCTAAGAAAACAAACAGATTCATCTTGGAGAGGGTTAAACTGAGCTGCTCCTTGGAAACAAGGATTATGAGGCTTCGTCTGACATACTATGGACATGCTGTAAGGAAGGACCGGGTCTTTGGAGAGGGACATCATGCTTGGAAGGGTGGAGGGACTGCGCAGGAGGGGGAAGCCCTCTATGAGGTGGATTGATTCAGTGACTGGGGTAATCAGGATGGGTGTGTCAGAGGCAACGTGACAGGATAGAGCAGGGTTTAGGGCTGTTGCACATAGGGTCGCTATGAGTCGCAAACGACAAAAACAATGTGATTTTATTTCACCCATGCTGAAAATATCATTACAAAAATCTAAAAGCACCAACAAATTCTAACTTGGTAATAGTTCAAATAGTTGATTTGTATTTATTAAGAAGGGGAAAAGAAAAGGAAGGAGAGTGGTAAAAATGATGATCGAAACAGGCACATGAGTCATATTCATTAAGCCACAACACTGGGGGACCGACCTGAACAGAAGGGACATCTGTAAAAGCTTTTATAAAATCATCTTCATCAACTGCGCCAGCACCTCCTTCCTTAGAAGCACCTGCTAATTGAAAGAAAAGTTATCTTTAATTTCAATTTTAAATATTTCATCAGTAAGGATAACATAAAAATATACTGCTCTTTCAGTATTAACAAAGGCATAATATTAAAGAAATTTTATTTTTATTTAAAAAGTATGACTATTTTGTTCACACTCATTTAATATTTCTTTAAATTAACTTATCTCTTAAAAAGAGTTGATGCCCTTGTTTGAACAGTTCTGGCCCTGAATAGTTCTGCCCCTGAATGAACTCTAGCCAACATAAGTGCTATTGAAATTTCTAACTCTATATGGATATATCTCCTAATGGAAGAATTTAACACTCAAAATGGACTTCACATTCATCTCAAGGGCCTCTATCATTAAAAACTTCTCTAGCTTATGGCCAGTCAGGTTTTGACAAAAGCCAAAGAAAACATCTATATTTGAAAGATACAGACGAATTTCATGAAACAACTTATGAGCAAGAGCCTGTGGCAATGGAGAAGGAAGTTCAAGCAGCTCTGAAAATATTGGCAAAAACCAAGGCCCCAGAAATTGACAATATACCAATTGATGTATTTCAACAAACAGATGCTGCCCTAGATGTGCTCACCAAGTTGTAGCAAAAAAGATTTCTTGGAGGACAGCCACCTGGCCAACTGACTGGAAGAGATCTACATTTGTTCCCATTCCAAACAAAGGTGATCTGACAGAGTGTGGAAATTATAGAATTAAATCACATGCAAGCAAGATTCTGCTGAAGATTATCCACAAATGGCTGGAAAAGCACATCAACAGAGGACTGCCAGAAGTGCAGGCTGGGTTTAGAAGGGTCATGGTACTAGAGATATTGTAGCTAATGTCAGATGGATCTTGGCTGAAAGCAGAGAGTACCAGAGGAATGTCTATATGTGTTTCATTGACTGTGCAAAAGTGTTTGACTGTGTGGATCATAACAAACTGTGCTAACTCTAAGAAGAAGAGAATCCCAGAACACTTGATCGTGCTTATGCGAAACCTATACTTGGACCAGGAGGCAGTCATCAAAAGAGAGCAAGGAAACACGGTATGGTTTGAAATTGGGAAAGGTATGTATCAAGGATGTGTCCTATCTCCATATCTTTTTAATCTCTATGCAGAACAGATTATCTGGGTAACTGGGCTCTATGAGAAGTGTGGCATCAGGATTGGAGGTAGACTCATCAACAATCTGCTTTATGCAGATGACACAACCCTGCCTGCTGAAACTGAGGAGGACCTGAAGCACTTGCTGCAGAAGGTCAAGGACTGCAGCCTTCAATACGGGTTGAAGCTCAATATCAAGAAAACAAAGATTCTCACCACTGGGCGACTGGCTGCACCCTGAAAAGACTGAGATTGTAAACAGCTTTAGTTTGCCTGGCTCCACAATCAACGTTCTTGGCATCAGCAGCCAGAAAATTAAAAGACGTATTGAATTGAGAAAGTCGGCTGTCAGAGACCTCTCCAAAGTACTGAAGAGCAAGGATGTCAGTCTGGAGACTAAGGTGCGCCTGATCCAGGCCATGTTCTTTGCAATCACTTGCTATGCATCAGAGAGCTGAACAATGACTAGGGATGACAGGAGGAGAATTGATGCCTTTGAGCTGTGGTGCTGGAGAAGAGTACTGAATATACCATGGACTGCTAAGAGAACGAACAAGTTTGTCCTGGAGAGGGTTAAATCAGGCTACTTCTTGGAGGAAAGGATCCTGAAGCTTCGTCTGACATACTCTGGATATATTGTAAGGAGGATCGGTCCTTGGAGAGAGATGTCATGCTTGGGATGGTGGAGGGACAGCACAGGAAAGGAAGAACTTCGATGAGATGGATTGATTCAGTGACTGGGGAAACGGGTGTACATGTGTCACAGTAAGATTGGCACAAGATAAGGCAGAATTTAGGATTGTTGCACATAGGATCGCTATGAGTCGCAGACGACTCAACAGCACATAATAACAACAACATAAAAAGTTTATGGCATTTCCAAAGATAGAAAAAAAAAATCTCATCTAAAAAAAAAAGCAAACATAGAAAAATGTCTTGCACGTACAATTTAACAATAGTAAGAGAGGAATTGTAGAAGAGCATAAACAAGTTTTAAGGTAAAATAAAACTCGACATTTAAAAGTAAGAATAAATTTAATGATGTGAAGAAAGAATGTACTGTTCTTCAGAAGATGGCATGGTTTCCAGTGTGTGAGGAGGGCAGGGGGAGCTCTGGGGACACAGTGGTAAGGACTTGTGCTGTCAGCCCAGAACGCATGCCATTCAAATCCACCAAGCGCTTCACAGAGGAAAGATGGGCAATCTCCTCCCATGTGATTTTACAGACTCGGAAAAACCCCTGGAGGGTCAGTGAGGAGTCCCTTCAGACTTGGTGGCACATAACAAGAACAGAAAGGTCAGAGCGGACACAAAGCAAAAAATTCAAATATTGCCTTAAGAAATTCTGTCTTAAGCATCTTAATTATCAAGATTCCATTTGATTTAATCCTGAACTACTTATAAGGGGAAGTGTTGGATACAAAAGTATGTTTCGGATACAAGGAAAACAAAAGGTCCTGAGGTGGAAAGGGGAAAGCTCTCAAGTTACAATGAAGACCAACACTAAAGAAAAGCACTAAATATGAAGAAATAAGATGAAGATAAACAAAGAGTGAACCCTGAAGAAATCTGCAACTTTGAAAGAGTTGTATAATCAAAGCACTACGGACTTGAACTAAGAGAGATAGAGGCAGTTTCAATAGATTAAGTCTTTGGCTTCCCCTCTTTTCTAAGAGAAACAGACTGAGAACATACTCAGCTGAAAGCACAAGACAAATCTTACAAAAGAGGAGAGAACAGAGCCCAGAGGGACTGCAGGACAAGAACAGAGGCAACAGAACGTGCTTATTGGATCAATACAGAGAAGATAAGCATGGCCTCTGCTCAGGAGGACGTGCAAATTTGTGAAACATTCCATATTTTTTTCACAAGATGGAATACTATGCAGCATTTAGGAGCAATGGTTCTGAAAAATACTATGTAACATGGGAGTGGTCTAGAAAGTTGAGTGAACTTTAGACTCATAAATATGACATAAGATCATTAACATAAAAATAGAAGGATAACAAGTAAAATGTGGACAAAACCCAAAGGGGGCAGTGGAGGGGACAGGGGAACAGAGGGTGAAGGTAGAGGAATTAGGAAAGATCCAGTGGGGACCTGAAAAGATGGGGTAATAGTGGGCACAGATCAAAGGTGATTAATTTTACAAAACATAGTGTAAGGAAATGATCGTATGAAACACAATGTGAATAAAGGATTGTATGAAATACAATGTATATGAATGAAACACAATGTATAAAATCTTGTATGCAAACGAGTATCAAATTTTTAAAAAATGAAGAGGGAGGAAAAAGCCAATACAATTTTCCAACAACGGGGGGTGGGGTGGGGAAAGAAGAGAGATAACAATAGATAACAGAACCCCAACCAGGGAGAAAGGAGAAGCCTCATCAAAGAACATTCACAACTCCTAGAACAAGGGCATCTGACAACAGGTGCCTGGCTGGGCTTCAAAAGCGGCTACTAAGCTCCTATTCTCCCATTTGGCTTGGAAGTATGGACATCATTGCTGACATTAGAAGTGTCTTGGCTGAAAGCAGACACTATCAGAAAATGTTTACTTGTATTATAGTGACTGTGTAACGGTATCTGACTGTGATTCAGAACAAATTCTAGATAAGACGGCAAAGAATAAGAATTTCAATACACTTGTACATAGGGTTCCTATGCATTGCAGACGATTCAACCAATAATATGCTATGGCAGGTTTGGAAGCAGGAGTGGCATCCACTTCCTAAACCACATGCCTCCGGAAACTCTATGAACTTTGATAAACGTCGATAGCTGCAGAGGGGCTTCAGGCCTTTTGTATATAGGGTCGCTATGAGTCATGCTCGACTCGATGGCAATCAACAACACTAGTGCTCATGTGAATCTGTATATAGATCAAGAAGCAGTTGTTCAAACAAAACAGGGGATACTGCACATTTTAAATCAGGAATAGTGTACTTCAGGGTTAGTCTTTCTTCAAACCTATTCTGAGTAAATAATCTAAAAACACAAGACTACATAAAGAAGAATGTGGCATTAGGATTTGTGACAGATTCATCAACAATCTGTGATATGCAGATGACACAACTTTCTCTGAAAGTTTTGAACACTTAGTGAAGAAGATCAGTACAGATCACACCTCAACATGACGAAAACAAAAATCTTTGTAACTGGACCTTCATGGTAAGTGGAGAAAAGAGTGACGTGATCACAAATTTCCTTCTACTTGGGCCTATAATCAACACTCACGGAAGCTGCAGATAAGAAATCAAATGTTTCACTACATTATGCAGATCTTACGAAGGACCTCTTGGGAAGCACTACAGAGCAAGGACACCACTTCAAAGACAAGGGTGTGCCTGATCCAAGACAATGCCTTCTCAATTGCATTATATGCATGTGAAAGTCAATGAATAAGGAAGACTGAACTGGTGTCTGAATTGTGGCATTGACCACAAAGATTAAATATTAAAAACCCAAATCCGAATAAGATGTAAATATATCTAACAGTCAATATAAATACAAAGTCAAATAGAGTAAGTACATCCAAGATGTTCCTCAGAAGGGAAGACGGAAAGACATCATCACACATATTTTAGACATGCTGCCAGAAGGGACCAGTCCCTGGGGAAGCATCACATTTGGTTAAGGAAAGGGTCAGAAACTAACAAACCAAAACAAACCCTCAATGAGACAGAATGACACAGTAGCTGTGAGCTTAGAGTCAGCAAAGCAGCAATTCTGAGGATGGAGCAGGACCTGGCAGTGTTCCGAGGCTTTTCCAGGTCACTGAGTGAGAACCAACTCAAAGGCACCAAACAACAGCCCAGGGTGGCCTCTTCCGGCATCACCGCTGTACACTGCTTACACGGAGGGTAACGTTGTGTCTCAGTTCAAAG